CCTAGAATAGGAATCAGCTACCATTAGAGTTGCTGAAATCCAACAGTGATTCAAAAATATATGAAAAATTTGACTACATCTATTCCGGAGAGGACCTGATTCACACCTACTGGCTAAGAAAACTACCAGCCTTTCATTAGTGCTTAACGACACAGATGAACCAGCTGACTTGTGGCAAGTTCAAATTCAGACTGGTTAACAGGAAAGGATGGTATTGATCATGAAAGATCTTCATAAAGAAGCAACACCGTCCAACTACTGACCAATAATCTACTTACCCACAATGTGGAAACTCCTGTCAGGTATCATAGCCATCAAGTTTTATGACAATATGAGCCAGTATGTGAGTATGTTCAACAAAGCATTGGGAACAACACCAGAACCTCCAAACATCAGCTGCTCATAGATAAGGCAGTCGCTCTAGATTCAAAATCCCGTCAGATCAATCTATGTACAACTTGGATTGACTATAAGAATGGCTCAATGCCCCACACATAAATCTGTGATTGTCCGATTCTATAAAAAGTCAACAGGACCCCAAAGATGTTCATTGGGAACTCAATGGGACTTTGGGAAACGACACTTGATATCAAGTGCGGCATATACCAAGGGAGTGCATTTTCTTCCCTATTGTTCTAAATGGATCCAAATTCAGGTGAAAAAGGCGGATATGGATACAAATTCAAGAGCTGGACTACCATCAGCCATCTTCTCTATATGAATGAAATCAGTTATATGCAAAAGTTATAGGTAAAAAATTAATGAGATATTGACTCATTCACCCATCTAATTCGAATCTACATCGAGGATATTGTGATTCATTCGGGATAGAAAAATTTAGCCGGATGCTAGTAAAGGGAGGAAAAGTAATAATGGCTAATGGCGTAGACCTGCCATCTGGACATATGGCGGGTACGGGTACATATACAAGCTAGCTAAAGCATCTTGATATGCTGCAGTTACATGGTAACGAGGAATGGAATATCTAATTATCACCTAAGGGCAGGACAAATCTTGAAAAACCACTTCAAAATCCATGCTGAAATCCAAATGTACCCCCTACCAATCATCAGGCAGTTGTCATTGTAAGATGGATAAAAGAAGACATGGAGACTGCTGATATAAAGACCGAGAAACTTCTTACAACGCTCGGAAATTTCCACCCCAAGTTCAACAGAGGCTATGCACCAACCTAAAATAAAGCTGATGGGGCTTGGTGAGTGTGAAAGCCACTGTCTTGGGCGAAACTCAAAGTATTTAGAAATATATCAGCAAGATGACATCAAAGAATATCTGAACTATGTACAGGCATTGGAAAATGATGAAGTAGAGGAAATACTATGGCAAAGCAAAGCTTCATGGATTGCACAATCGACATTAACCGTTAAACAATAGCAAATGACAGAATGGAATCCTACCAGTGATTGGAGAAGATCGAACTAAAATACATGATGTAAATGAAATACATAAAAACACTTAACACTTAGGCATGAAGCATTAGATCTAATGAAGCACCACTTTAGATAAGATTCTAAATGCAAATTGTGCAAAAATATCCCAGAAACAATCCAACACTTAGTGGTAGGATATAAAATACAAGCAGGAATAACACATGTTGAAATGCATAACCAAGTAGCTGGACTTATTTACCAGAATATCTGCACGGCATATGATTTGAACCCTCCTAAGACTAAATAGGAGATTCCTCATTCAAACAGTCAAAAGATATTGGACAATCAACCAGATATCGCGGATAACAGATAAGAATCAGAAATCATTACTGGTGCTGGATATAGCAATACCAAAAGGCAAATACATCAGGAAGAAGGAATATGGAATATGAGAAATCGGAGAAATACCAAGGGCTGTAAGAAGAACTAGAAAAATGTGGAAAGTCAAAGTAAAGTCAAAATAATTCCAGCGATAATTGGAGCATTTGGCATTATAACCTCTAAACTAGGAAAATGGCTTCAGCAGATTCCAGGAGCAACTCAGAGATCTTTATCCAAAAGAGCGCATTACTAGGAATAGCTAAGAAACTGCGTAGAGCCCTCAGTTTTCCAGATCTCTGGTAGACTCGGGATTAAGAATGATCATAATCACCCACAGGAGGTGTAAAAAAAGTTTTTTTTTTGCACTTATATTTTTTGTTTTTTGTATTTATTTATATACATATATATCTTATTTATTTATATTTATTTATCTTATTTGTATACAGTATATACATTTTATATATACAGTATATTTTTTATTTTCAATTTTTTTTCTTTTTTCTTTCTTATTTTCATCTTTTGACAGGAGTAAACCTGTCATAATCAAATCCGAGTGGCTGTGATGAAAGGTTGAGGTCTTTTTGACGCAGCGTGAATGTCCTCCATTCGGTAGAACATGCGATAAGTGTACAGTTCGCGCTCATTCAAATGACCTCGAGGCATGAGAATGTAACGTACTTGCGAGTCAGAATAATTACTCGAAATCAATCAAAAGGAAACGGATCTCTACATGAGCGGCGTGTTAGCCGTAGCAACGTGAAACGTCATTATGGACATTGGAAGCTAAACATTCACTGTCCACACTCTTTCCAAATATCGTGTGGATGTCATCGAGGTCTTTCTTCCTCATTTCGAGTCTCGAGCAATCATTAAACTTAGCTCGGAGCAGAGATACTGGCTGTATCATACTTGCTTCGGATAACTCGAGGCGAAATGGTGTAGAGATTGTCATATCTGGCAGGGCTTATTCCACTTTCCGTATGCTTATGCTTGATTCAAAAGAAAATTCTGTAATATTTCATTTATCAGTGTATATGCTCCAACTTTATGCATAGATGATCGCAATTCTGTGCAGAATTTCAACAGCATCTCTACTCGATGATTAGCAAATATGGCATCAGGATCTGGTGTGTGCCAATGAAGAACGCTTTGCTGAATGGCATAAAGTTTTTTTATTAATATATGCTTCCGGTATAGAAGACAGACATCTGGTCATGTAGAACTCTTCGGATAACCAACCGGATTGATTCTTAGTCGTAGTTTGGATAATTCCGTGCTAGTCGTTCCTACGGGGCGCTGAAACTGGTAATGTAAATAAAACCATGTTCTAGTTCGAATCGCGTTTCGCATAAAATTGACAACTCACAAGAAACAATGCCTCCAAAAATCTTTCAACGATCTTAAACCAAAAGAAGCTTCTGGAGATTCGGGACTAAGAGCATTTCAAACCAAATTTTTGAAGCACCTCAATGAAGTGAATATCACTAAGACAGCTAATAAATACTGGTCTCAACTAGCTCCCTCGGAAATCAACCACTTCAGTAATGTGGTATGCAAGTAGAAAATGCGCTAATTGGGTATCAGAAGCAACTATCTGAAAACGCTGTCAATGTCAGAAAATTCTGGCCTGTCTATAGTGACAGCAGCACGGTGAAAAATCGCTGTTGGAGCGATATGGCCTTGAGAATGAAGGCGACGACTCTATAAGAGGGTAATATCAAATTATTTTTCCTTTATAAAGCATAAGATGGAGAACGGTCAGTGAAATGATAGTATTGGTTTGCCAGTTAAAGCGCTATAAAGAATAACCTCATGAGATAGAACAGATTTTTCCAGGCTGAATCTGACCATGATGCGTTTTCTATGGTCCCGGACATAGCTGATTTTATCAAACCATATCTTTGCAGCTACAAACGACAAGCAGAATAAAAAATAACTATCATCCTCTATCATCTGTCCTCTATCTAACCTCTATTATCCAGAAGTTTAAGGCCAATAAAACTTTGGGACTAGATTCGTATCCAGGCTCTTCAAATATTGTTCATGGTCCTTCAGCTTACAATTCTCTGGAAAGGTGACTGGACATATTGTGGCATTTATTGAGGGATCGGTCTCCAAAAAAATTTTCGTTTCCTTCCTGTTGAATAGGCTTATGGCATATGAGGAGAAGGATACGCACTAAACAAGCCGGATTCAGATCGTGGCGATTGTGTTGACCAGATATTCACGTTAAGGAAGGTGTTGGAACATCGCTTCAAATATTTGTAACCCATCATCACATCGACCTTGCAGCTTTCTTCGATTGAATTGATAGAGCGGACTTTGGAAATGGAACGCTATGGCGTTCCAAAGAAAATCATTCGATATATTTTAGGAACGTAGGTCAGTATAGATGATGAATAGCTCCTTCGAAATAAAAATTGGTGTCCATCAAGGTTGTGTCCTTTCTCTTACAATATTCAACTATTCGATAGACGGAACTATGGATACTATGGTTTGTCGATACTCAAAAATTGTGCAGATCTCTCCAGAGCATACTGTCACGAATCTTGAATACGCTGTAATGTAATCCTTTTTGCTGATAGTTACGATGAAATGCAAATAATGCTAATCAATGTGATAACAATTGCAACGAGAATCGGACTCAAGATCAATGTAAATAAAACGAAAGTCTTTTTGTCTTATATAAAAAATGTATAAGAGATTAGTGATAAATTATTTTCAACAATTCATCCTCGATTGAAGTGCCAGACTTTAAATACCTTGGATCCACTCTAATCCCAAATAGGCAAGTAAAATTTGAAAATTGTCTCGAAATGATCATCAAAACGAAAATCTGCGTCTACATAGTAATTCATTCTTGCTACATAGCTGTGGCAAATAGAGTGGAGTATATGAAGAAGTTATGTTTCTTTGATCATTCATATCTAAGATGCATTTTACTGGTGTGCCGGATAAAATCTCACATGATTGCTTCTACCTTTGCTCAAATACCACTTTCAATAACAGTGCCATTAGAGCGTCACCTTTGTTGTTTAGGGCATGTTCCTCACCACAGTAATCTTTATATTTCTTTATGTAATCACCTTAACTATCTGCATCACATATCACATATTTTATTACTTGCTAAAACCTGTGGTGGATGGCATCAAAAGCGAGATGGACCAATTAAGATCTGGACTGAAATAGTAAGGAAAAATTTTGAACTTATAGGTGGGCCAGTGATATATGGACTTAGACGATGAAAAAAAGAATGGCTTCTGTTCTGTCGATGATTGTATCGGATTGAATTGCAAGCGACTTGTTCTTGTAGTCGGTAAGCCAGGCTAACCAGTAATGGTGAGAGTTGATAGGAGGTGTAGAACATTTAATTCTCCATTAATTCTTTAAAAGAATTATTTTAGAGGGAATATATCTTTTTATTTATTATTTTTGACACTTGATTATTTCAGGAGTTGAAAGATGTTGTGTTATCAAAGACGCAACGTAAAACTCCGACTGTTGTTCATCGGCATTTTGCTATTAGCCGAATAAGATCTTTTTATTCAAGAAAAATCAAATTTCTTCAACAGACTCTACATGATAAGCTTTCTCAGATCATTGATGAGTTTCCTAAAATGGAAGTTCGTAAAATCTTTCATTCTATTTCAAATATATTATTTATTATTTTCAGTCATTCAATCATTTTTTCTTTTATGGTTTGTTAGATTTTATAATTTTTCAGGAAATGCATCCTTTCTATTCAGATTTAATGAATATTTTGTATGATAAAGATCATTATAAAATAGCTCTTGGTCAAATAAATATATCTCGACATCTGATTGATGGGTGTATATTTGATTTTGTTAACCAGTTCCATTTCTTTTTTTTCAATAATTTTTATTGTAGTAGAGCTCAAAAATATTAGTGAAATTTTTTCTCTGTCGATTTTGTCCTTATTATTAATTTCTAATTATTAAGGATCGCACGAGAATATGTCCGTTTGATGAAGTATGGCGATTCATTATATCGATGTAAAATGTTGAAACGAGCAGCTTTGGGAAGGATGGTGAAATTACTTAAACGTCAGAAATCAAGTTTTGAATATCTGGAACAAGTTCGCCAACATCTTTCACGCCTACCAAGCATTGACCCAAACACAAGGCATTATTTGAATTATATTTATTGAAATATCTATTTTTTAATGAAAAATATATTTTATGTTTTTTTAATGTATTGTCGATAGAACTTCAAATATTTTTTTTAGCATACTGTTTTTTTTTTTGCAGAACTTTGATTTTATGTGGTTTTCCAAATGTGGGAAAATCTTCTTTAATGAATAAATTGACAAGGGCTGATGTCGAAGTTCAACCTTATGCTTTTACTACCAAAGCTTTATATGTTGGACATTTTGATTATAAATTTCTTCGATGGCAAGTAGGTTGCGAATCATTTTTTATTTTTTATGAGTCGTTATTTTGAACTTTGTTTTATTTGTATCAGATTAATTCAAGAGTCGTAAGCAAAGTTTTTTTTTTTCGAATTGTTGTTTTTCATAAGAAATAACTTAGGTAATTGATACCCCTGGTATATTAGATCAACCTTTAGCGGAAAGGAATATTATTGAAATGCAGGCTGTAACTGCTTTGGCACATTTGCGTGCTGCGGTGTTGTTTATAATGGATATCAGTGAAACTTGTGATTATTTAATCAAAGAACAGGTGCTGTTTTTTATTTTCTCTATTTATTCATTTATAATTCTATATTTATTCATTTATAATTTTTAAGAATTTTAGATATGTTTATTCGAAAGCATTCGTCCTCTTTTCGCAAACAAAGCTGTATTTGTGGGTCTCAATAAGGTTGATATTTTGAGTCGGAGTGAATTGTCATCTGATAAAATTGATTTAATTCGTAAACTCGAACAGGACTCGATTCAAATATTTGAATTAAGTACGGTAACACAACAGGGGATTGTTGAGCTGCGTAATAAGGTTTTTACTTTTTATTTGTGGTTTTACCTTTAATGTTTTTTTATTTCAATAATTATCGTAGTTGGCATTTTTTTTGTTACCTATAGTTGTTAGATTTTCAGGCATGTGATACTCTTCTTGCTCAACGTGTAGAAAATAAACTTCGTTCTAAAAAATTGGACAGTGAAGGAGGAGTATTAAGTCGAATTTTTGTTGCATATCCAACTCCAAGAGACGATAAGGTTATTTCCACTTCTGTTATGTTTTTGCATCAAGGTTGGAGAGATTGAATTTTTTTGAAAAATTACAAAAATTGTTACTCATTTTGTCTTCTATTTCTTTTTTAATATTGCTCATTTTTATTTCCGTTTCTTTCTTGATAATATTAATTTACTAAAGGTTAGAGTTCCCTTCATCCCAGAAACTGTATTTAAAAAGAGACAGTCAGTAAGTGAAGGAAGAAAATTTGAAAGAAGTGCTGAAATGAGGAAATTAGAACGCGAAATCGAATTGGAAATGGAAGATGAATATACTCTCGATTTGAAAAGTATTTTCAACTTTTAATTTTTCGTACAGTTTTAGAATTAAATGTTTAACATTGACAATGGAATTTGCAGAACACTATTTATTAAAGAATGAGAACGAGAAATATGATATAATACCAGAGATATGGGAAGGACATAATATCGCTGATTTTGTCTGCGCAGATATAAAGGAAAAATTGGAGAAAATTAGAGAAGAAGAAGAAGTACGAATAAAATCAGGGTTGGCGATAATATTTATTTTGATAGACAGATTTGTTATTAATGGTTTCGTTAATCATCCATTTTCAAGATATTACGATCTGGACTTGGAAGATGATGATGATGAAACCAGACAACTATTGGAAAATGCAAAGAGGATAAGAGAGAAGGAAGATTTATTGAAAATGGTAGTTGTTATGAATTTGACATAAATTTTATAATTCGGGTGTAATTCTCAGTGGCTTAGTAGCGAGAAGATTGCCACCGAGAGCGGGGAATGGCTCAGGTTCGAAATCCAGCCAGTACACCACATTTCGTCAGACACCAGTGTCACCAGACGGAATAAGCAAAAGGAGCTAAAATTACTGTTGTCATTGTCGCTCAACTTGGAGCGCCTATACTGTGATCCTACATTCGACAGAAGTAAACTTATCTTTCAAAAATCGGGACGATTCTGGCTATTCACCTAATTTCTGTCGCCAAATGATTCTCTAAAATTTGCCTGGTCCAATAAGTCAGTAGAGCAAATTTAATCAGCAGTAGTAAGGCTTTTAGAAAAAAATTTGTTAATTTGAAAAATGATAATTTGATATCTTTGGATTCTTTGTTGAAGTTATTTTCAGGAATCGCAAGGTAAGAAAAAAATAGAAAAACCACGACTAAGTCGAAGAATTGCTCGAAAGCGTGAAAGAACCACTTCGAGATTAGAAAAAGAATTTCAAGATTTGGGTGTTGAAGTTGAAGTTAAGAGAATGAAATTGTTTAATGAAGAACAGGGGCGAAGAGGGTCTGTGAAAAAAGTGCATGTTGGACAAAGTCCAGTTCTATCTGCTTCACGACCACCAAGTCGTGATGTACGAGGAATCCCTGATCCAGTGGTTTGTTTTAATTATGTTCATTTTTCTTAAATTTTAATTTCAAAATGCAACATGTGCCACTGCGTATTACATTTTTCATTTGTTTCATATAGTAATTTCATCCATTACAGATGCGTGAAAAGACCAAACGAATTGCCCGCAAAGCACAGAAACCAAGCCAACGCGAAGCTAGGAAAGGTGAAGGTGATAGAAAAATTTTTGTCAAAAAACCAAAACATTTATTTGCTGGCAAACGTGGGATTGGAAAAACAGATCGTCGTTAAAAATCGAATTTAATTAAAATTTTTGATATCGATTGTATTGTTTTTTTTTGGTCCACTTTTTCCTCTGATTTTTCATCAGGCTCTTATGTTGTTGAATGTCGCATTCATACAAATTTTAAAAGATGGGAAGTGGGGCGGAATCTGATTCGGATTTGATTTTTTGAGATCTTCATTTCATTTTATTATAATAAATAATTATTCAATAAATCTTTCTTTTTGTGAGATTTTCTTGATTTGATCAACAGTTGCTACTTTCAAGCACAAATGCATTTTGGAGAGGAAGAAAATTGGGTGATTTAGAATAGAGCTTGGTAAATGAGCTCGAGAGTTGAAATATGGGAAGTAAAATCATTTAAAACCGTTTATAACCAGGGGAAATTGCATATGAAATGGTGTTATCTGTTCTAGATTTCCCAATTGGTGGAACCAAATGATGAACATGAGCAATGTTGGAGGTGTTTCGCGACATATAAAACAATCTAAGGATATAGCTGTAAGTGTTATTTCACATGTTAGAATTTCTTTTTTGCATTTTGCATTGATCGGTATTGTGTTGCATTGAGGTTGAAATAAAAATTCAAGGCAAGATAAAATGAATGTGTGTGGGGGCAGATGGAAAGCAGTATGGATGAGTGGTGTGTGCTTTGGCTGGGGTCAAATATTATTGTCTTAGTTTCTACGGGATGATGGTTGACTTAATTTATCTCCAAATGATTCACCATAATAGTCAGTGGAACTAACCAAACTAGCAGTCATGCCATTAAGAGAAGATAAAGAAAATTTGGATGCTACTGGAAATTCTCTGGTTCATCTATTTTAAAGTTTATTTCTGTATGGTTTAAGTATATTTAAAATCGTTGAGTGGATGAATCGGTGAGTCGGTTAGTGTTAAGAAAACCAATGAGAATTGAGTCTTAGGTTCGAACGAGCCGATGCATTGATTTTCGTCGAGTGGCATATCTGACTGAGAAAACAAGAGATTGGCTGGATGAGTTATTGCTCAATTAGGAGCTGATACAATTCTACTCTCACCGCGGGAGCAAACCTATATTCGAAATTTCGAAGTTAATTACGAAAAGTTAATTAAGAAATTACGAAAATTCTAGTGATGTTGGCAACTCGCTTGTACTTCTATCGCCAAGGGATTCTCTGGCATATTTTTCTGGTGCGACGAGCCAGCGAAAAGAGTCTTACCAGTGAATGCCTGTTAAAAATAATAAAGAAAATTGCTGAGAAAACTGAGTATTATAATGCTTTAAAAATTTAATTAGGTTATCCTTTCGAATGAATTCATTGCAGAATAAAAGAAGGCCTTGGAGAAATAAAGTACGGAGAATGGCAGCCAAAAATACAGCAAAGATATTTAAAGAATTGGATAGTTGAATTCTTTTTGTTTAATTTTAATTAATTAATTTAATGTTTGTATTTATATGTTATTTTAGTACTTCAAACTTTTTTTAATTCATTGAAGAATAGATAAATACCATTTCTAATTCGTTTATTTATAAATACCATTTCTAATTCGTTTATTCAAGTGATATTTGGATGGGTCAACATTTTATAACGTTTATTTTGCGACATTTTATCAAATTTTATTTTTAGCGACCAACGAAGATGTATTTCTGAAAAATGCGCGAAAAAACGAACTGAAGAAAAACGGGACGAAAAAAGATAGGAAAAATGATATTAATGATTTGCTCTCAAGACTTGAATCTGCTCGTTTTCGTTTAATCAATGAAAAACTTTATACATCGACTAGCGAACAAGCAAAAATTTTATTTCAAAATGATCCTCATGCCTTTGAAATTTATCACAGAGGATACAATAATCAAGTAGGGATAATAATACGACTTAATAAAAATAATAATACGACTTTAATTAATAAAAATAATACGACTTTAGTATATTGAAACAATTTTACTATATATAATAAAATTTTAGCAATAATTTGTGGATTTCATCTATGCTTTAAATTTTTTATTTTGCATGCCATAATTTTTGTGTTTTTTCATTCATTTGTATTTGTCTTGTATTTGTATTTTTAGTTGAAAATTATCTTTAACTAATATATATTTTATTAATTTCAGATGAAAAAGTGGCCTTACCAACCTATTAACGATATAATTCATTCTTTGAAAGCAGAAAATGATAAAAATATTGTTATAGTGGATATGGGCTGTGGTGATGCAAAAATTGCTGCAGCTTTAAAGGATCATGCTACAGTTTATTCATTTGATCTGGTTGCTGCTAATGATAGAGTAACTGAATGTGATATGGCGAAGGTATATGGTAGAATAGTTTAATTTTATTTTTTTCTTTTACTTAATCATTTATCTTTCAATGGTTTTTTTTCTGTTTAACTGGATCGATTCGATGAAAAATTCGCTATTCGTTTTTAGGTTCCTTTAGAAAGTGAATCCAGTGATGTTGTTGTATTTTGCCTTTCGTTGATGGGAAGAAATCTTATCGATTTTATTCTGGAAGCAAATCGAATTCTCAAAATTGGGTAGACTTAATATTTTATTATTAAAATTTTAGTTCTAAAATTAACAATGATATTGTTTGTCAATATTTTATTTTATGTTCTAAGCCTTTATTTTAATGTTTTTGTTGCATTGTGATAGATGAATTTATTCGGAAGACAACGCTGAAATGTATATATAATAACTGATAAAATTCAGCTTCTTTTTCTTAATTTGTTCCTTTTTACTTTACTGTTTAATATTCTGTTGCATTTCTTCATTATTGGATTTTTTTTAGTGGTTGTTTGAAAATTACCGAAATCACTAGTCGTTTTATAAATATTAAAAGCTTTATATTTGCTTTACGAAATTTGGGTTTCCATCTTATTTCAAAGGTTAGTATATCAGTCTTACTTGTTTCTTTTCGACAGCATTCATTTTCATTTATTGTGGTGTGTGAAAAAGATTTTGTTTTTTCTTTCTTTTATATATTTACATATATATTTCATAAATTAAATTTATAAATTAAAGACGTAAGTATTAATCAATATTTTTAGAAAACTAGAAGTGATGGATATTTTTTGGTGTTTAATTTTGTAAAAATGAAATCGAAAGTGAAGAAACGAGTTAATGGATTAAAGTTGAAACCATGTTTTTATAAGAAGAGATGATCGATAATGAACAGTTGAAAATTTGTGCTTGTATAAGTATAGGGTTAAATATTTTAATTTGAAATAACCAGTGTATTTGTTCACATGCAATGCTTTAGGATTTATGCAAGAAAGCGTTAATATTAGATGAACAGGAATGTTCGAGGATTTTTCCAACTTTTTTCTTTTTTTTTGTTACTTTCTTATCATTTTGGAATGAATTATAGCGAATTAAAGAATTAAAGAATAATTATTAATAAAAGTTGAATATTTCGAAGTTTATCATTTCAAGATAAAATTTCAAGGTGTAATTCTCATTTGGTGATATTTTTAAGTTTTGTGTTCTAATTGTGATTTTCTATTTTAATATTGATGAAGTTACAGCGCAAAAATTTATCATTTTCTGTTTTTCTATTGTGTAACATATTCTTGTCATTTTCTTTAATAATAATTTTTATACAAATGAGACCATCTCATTAAAAGGATCTTTTGCTCTAGATTCAAATGGTTGAGATTTACATTATTTCTAGAAGCCTCTTTTATAGTTATGCAACTCTAGATATCCATGATTTGTTGTAGTTTATAGGATGTCACTGGTTGAACTCGGTTGGCGACAATTCACCTTTTTTGAAAAAAATATTGTTCGAGATCCGAAGAATCCGGATGAAAAATTTTCTGGACTCAAGGTCTCTTCATTTTCCTTTTGTATACTTAAAATTTTCGATTTATTTGGGTTTTATTCTGATCACATTGCAGTGAATCGAGATGCAGGCATGGATTTATATATATTTATTTATGAATATTTGTTTTCAAAATAACCATAAAAAACAAAAATTTTAAGGGGGTTTTTGAAATTCAAAAGATTTTGAAGTTTTTATAGAATTTGAAAGCAAGTTGTTGTGTACAAGGCAATGACTTCGCAGTGTTTGGTGAAAATAGTGGTGCTGTATTGAAATTAACGTCAAAGTTGGAAGAATGTTTCTGGATGGCTCATAAAAGATCGCTTAGTGATATCGCCCTAGCTGGAAATATTTTTGCTACAGTTGGCGTAAGATTTTGTTAGAAAAGATTTTATTATTTTTGGGCTGCGTGAGGCGCTATTGGATTGCAATTCGATTCTCTCCATCTCGCACTTTTGGCATTACTATAGAAGGCAGTGAATTCCATGCAGTGAACAAAACATAGCAATGGTGTTGAAAATAAGGAAAATTTTGTTAAAATATGCTATATTGCTATATTCATTGCGATTCAGTTAAAAGATTTATGGTATTTAACATGATATATTATTTTAGATCAAAAAACAACCTAAAAACCATAGATTAGACATCGCTACATTGAAGCCATGAATCTCTAGTCTTTAAACTTATGCTTAAGATCTTTTATTATAAATACTTTCAAAAATTTATGGGTCTTTTTTGGGTTCTTTCATCGAATGGCTTTCTTTCTTTTTTTTCCTTTAAAGATGAAATTTCCCACTTATATCCAAATATTTAAACAAAAATATTTACAAAAAATTGTATTTGAATTTGTTATTCCTGATATATAGTTTTAAAAAACAAGCAATTGTTAAATTTTTTTCCTCACAGTGTTTAACTAGAATATGTAATAAATTAAAATGAATAAAAATCCACGATTTCATTTAAAGCTTTTGTTTGTTTTTTATATTTTTTATATTTATTTATGTTTATTTTTTTCACAATTCAATTTCATGTTTAACTAATTTTAGGAAGATGAGGAGGGTATAAATTCCTTAGTTAAATTGTGGAATCTTGAACGAATTGAAAAGGAAATCCCATTTTGCGTTCGCGTTATCAGAATTTGCTCTCTGCTGGGTTTTGGTAGATGCCCACGAGCTTGTTCAATTGCCTTACACTCTTCACTTCAACACATTGCAGTCGGTTTTATCGATTCATCTTTAATTTATTGCAACGGAAATGTTCTTAAGGAAAGGTGAATTTTTGCATTTTTTTGATTTCATAAACCGCAATATTCGACAAAAATTCATAAAATTTAGGTCGGGGAAGTGGTTGAATGTTGTGAATGAAGTGAGCAGTGGAGTGAAAAATGAAATAACTGGAATTGCTCTTGCTTGGTTGCCTATTCATAATTCTTGTATTTTATACTGCATGACTGTGACTAACGTAAAATCCTATGTCATCAATAAGACAGTTATAAATGAGGTAAATACATTTTGAAACACTCATTCCCGATTATTCGTTATTATCAGTTTTATTTATTTAACTTTAGATTAAAAAATTTTATTTTTATTATTGTGTCGTTCTCTTATAAAATACTTAAAATATGAAAATAATATGAAGTTATCAATATGCAAAAATTTTAGATAAATCATGATGCAAAAGGATGTCAACGTAATTGTTGGAGTTTTAATGAAATGCAGAACAGTTTAACCATTGGAAGCCCTGATGTATTTCGTTTGTTTTTTTTTAGAAAAATTTAAAATTAATGCATTTTTTCGCAAGAACCTTCGATTTTTCGTTTAGATGGTTTATTTTTACAATGCTGAAGATAGTGTTGGCGAAAGTTCAATTGGTGGAAAAGGAAAATGTTATGCATTAGGCCGTTGTAATGATAAAATACAATTAATTTCCTACGACAGTTATGTGATATTACTCACCAAACAACCAAACGCCACTCCGTATGCATTTCACTTGATTCGTGAAGGCCAACAAATATTTATGTTGGCTTAACATAAAATTATTAGATTTGGCTAATTAAAAATGTTCTAGATCAGCTGATGATTTATTTACGTGGGCTATATCAATTTACGATATCGACTGTCAATGTGTTGCTTTCTCGTGCGCTGTTCCTCCAACTTCTTGGGTGTTTCGGCTTGACAGTGTGATTACAATTTTAGGGCAAGATGGTACATTAGCGTTTTTGACGGAGAAACCTCTTGGTGTTAAGCTTGATATTCTTTTTAAAAAGAATTATTTCGATTTAGCTGTTGGGTACGAGTTTACGTTGGTTAACGTTTGTTTTGCTATATTCCATTGCGATATCTTATTTCTTTTACTTTTTTTTATAGATTAGCCAAGAGAAGTGCATTTCATTATGAATATTTACCCGATATTCATAGACGATATGGCGATTATTTATATAAGTTTGTTTATTTATACCCATTAAAACAAAAATTCATTGGAAGTTTTTCTTCATGAATGGATTTATCACATTCTTAGCTGATTCATTTCAAAATTTTCGAGACTTTAGGAGTGGTGATTTCGAGAATTCGATTAAACAATATGGTGAAACAATTGGTTCACTGGAGCCATCTTATGTAATTAAGAAGGTGAATTTTTTATCGAAAAGAATTTTTTTTCATTTGAGAATACCGTAGTATCGGAATTTTTTGTACCATTATTATTAAATATTTATTTTATTTTACCTTTTCATACTTTTCGAATAATATCACAAAATTATATTAAGTTATAAGTCGTATGTGCTAGGATATTTGATTTGAAAATTTTGATATTGTCAGGTTGGTTTTCCAATTTTATCGAATAAATTTCTGAATTTTGAAGCTTTTTGTAGTTTGTTTTGAATTTTATTCACATGAATTCTTATTGTTATTCTATTTTTCGTAGTTCTTCAATATGAAATTCAGTTTTTGGATGGATCGTTAATAAAGGAACTTAGCCTTTATCTAGAAGTCCTTCATGCAAAAGGAAAAGCTAGTTCACATCATTCAACAATTCTTATCAACTGCTATATAAGGATGAGCAATAAGGAGAAAATTGAAAAATTTATTGATCAAAATTTCAGCTGTGATGTAGATGTTGTTGTGCATGTTGGTTTTATACTTACACATTTTTTTTTGATTTTGTAGGATTTTCAAATAATTAAACCAGTGAAAATTTTCTTTTTATTTTCTTTATTTCAATTTTTAAAAATTGGTTTAGATTTTACGTTCAGCAGGCTTTATTGATGCTGCTTGTCGTATCTGTGAAAAGAACGATATGTTAGATAAGCTTTTGAATATTTATATCGAAGAAAAGAAAGATTATATTTCCGTTTTGAAATATGTCGAGGATTTGGATGATTCACTGGCATGATTTTGTTTTTCTTTTAAAGTTTTTTTGTAAACAAAAGGCATGAGAAATGCACTAAATTCTTTTTAAGAGGAAAAAAGTGAAATTTATTTCAATGAAAAATTGAAATCGTTGATTTGATTTCATTGTTTTTTTTCAAAAATAGAAACAGCCATTTTTTTTCGATTAAAACTTTTAAATTCAAGATAATGGAATATTTGGAAAAATATGGAAAATTATTAGCGGAGAAGTGCCCAGATGAAACACTGAAATTTATTTCGAAAATAGCCACCACAAACGGTATGGATTTCTTGTTTTATCAAAGAAATTTTGTTTATAATCATTTAATTCGAAGATTGAATCTGAATTTATTTTGAGATTATTTTTTAAATTTCGTATTGAATTTATTCTTTTTTTCTGAATAAAACAGTTTTATTTTGATTTTTCTAAAATATAATCCAGCAAGTGATTTATTTTAGTCTATTTCGATGCAAACCGTCTTATCAAAATGTTCATTGGAAATGTTGAATATTGTTCACAGTTTGTCGAAATAGCCTTGAAGGTCAAATTCCTTTCAGTTATGATCGCTGTTTTTCATTATTTGATTTTATGTTTTTAATTAATACTATAAAAAATATAAAAAAAGCGATTTAGATAAAAATTTGTAATTTTAAGATAGACAAGAATAATTCGAAATTAAGGAATATACTACTAGAATTGCGCCTTCGACAAAAATTACATAATGAAAATGTAAGTTCCATCTTTTCCATTTTTTTACATGAAACCTTTCTTCCTTTCTTAATTTTGTTATACTGAATAGATTATTTTTATCACATACTTTTTTTTTTATTTTCATGGTCAATTTTCTTATGGAACGATGAACGATGAAGAATTAGTTTCGTTAATAGGTGAACAGAAATTAGATGAGGCTCTGCAAATATGTCAGATGTTTGATTTCAAACCTGGCATAGTGGATATTTATACGAAGCAAAAGAGGTTTGTTTTTTCAGTGAAAATATCTAAAACATCTAAGTTCCAATTTAAAATTTTGCCCATAATAATCTATTTCCAAATATTGATCAATTCTTAATATTTCATTTTGTCAATATTTAATAATTTTAATATTTGTATTGGAGAATTTTTACTCTATTTTTAGAAATGAAACACCTGGTTTAAGAAAACCTATAGATTTTTAAAAATGTATGATTTGAAATAAATGAAGTTAAAATAATAGTTGCATATTTGCAGTTGTTATTTTTTGGTAGATTTTATTAGCCCATTTTTAGATTTGATGAATTAATTGAATTCTACTTAGAGCGAGGAAATATCAAAGAAATTATTGAATTGTGCGAAACTAAAAGGTATTTTTTTAAATACTTCAAAATTAAGTTGTAGAGATAATTATAATTATCAAAGAATATTTTGCAAATTTGAAGTTAAAACCAATTTTCTTTCATCTCAAGTAATCCAACTTTATGGATTAATGCGCTCTCCTATGTATCGCGTGAAGCGAATATTAATGCAGAAACGATTCAACTTTTACTGGAGAAGTGATGTTTTAATTTAATATTTGCAGTTACATTTTTATATTTGATTTCATTCAAGCACAGAGGTATTGTGCAGTTCCAACTCAAAGAAAACCTATTTTTTTGGTTTTAATTGAAGACTTAAATTTTTTTTGAATAGTGAAGATGCAGCAAGCAGAGGTTGTTTTTAGTTCATTATTTTTACATCAAATTTTCTTTTAGCTCAAAATTTACTAAGAATTTTTATTTTGTTTTGAAATTATCCATTTTTAGAATTGAACTGACGAAATCAATTCATCCATTGGTGGTTCTTGAAATTTTATCAAAAAGTGAAAATATTTGTGTTGGACATGTCCAGAACTACATCATCAAGTGGCTCAAAGAACAAAATGATCTGGTAGTTGTTTTTAATTCTTAGCAATAAATTATTTAATTTAGCAAATTTAGTAAGCAGGCCTAGATTTCACATTTTAGCTTGTGAAGTATTTTATGGGTTAGATAGTATACATATCCTGGAGTAAAACGATCCTAAGACTGATAAATAAAAGGTGTAATAGTAAGCCAAGGGGTAATTGCTCGAAACCTATTAAGGCGAATGGCTTTCTCCACGAGCGGCGAAGTATTAGCTGTGCCAGCGTGGAACGTCAAGTGCGCTTATGGACGTTGCAAGCCTAGCGATCACTATCACACCTTTTCTAAATATCGTGTGCATATCGCCTACTTGTCTGAGGCCCGTCTTCTTCGCTTTACTTCTTTAGTAATTACTAATCTCCGGAACAGATACTGGCACTGTGGTGCTTCGAATAGCTCAGGGAGAAATGGCGTAGCAATTGTCATATCTAAAAAGGCCCATTCCATATGGTCTAGGCCTGTTTTAAGGGTAAGTTCTGCAATCTCTGTTATGTTTATGCTCCAACTTTGTCGCCAGATTACCGTGGTAAAGATAAGTTCTACACGGAACTTCAGTTGTTAACAAAGTCTTTACCGAAAAATGACATGGTCATGATCGGAGGAGAATGCGCACATAGGTTATAGTGCCGTTGCGATGACTTCGAGAATTGGCAAATATGGCATCGGAGACCGGTGCACCAATGGGGAATTCCTTTTCTTAACCACTGTTAATATCTTAATATCTTAATCACTTTTGGAAGAATTCCGTGCTATATAGTCGTTTCTATCGCAAAAGGGCAATCTTCATGGATTTGACCATGTTATGGTTCGAGCCAAGATCTGCATAAAATTGTCTCGCAGAAAACAATATCCCCCAAGATCCTTCAGCTATCTCAAACCGAATTATTAAAGCATCTCAGTGGTATAAATGTCAATAACTTTTCTGGAACGGCAAATGAATACTGGTCCAAACTAAAAGAATCAGCCACTTCCACGCTAGGGCACACTAGTAGGAAGTGCACTAGTTGAGCATCGGAAGCAACTGTCCAACTGTCTGAAAAAACTGCCAAAGCTCGAACGTCAGGAGATCCTGAATACCGGATCCTTCAAAGATTTGCAATGAAAGCAGCACGGTGGGAAAGAAATCACAATTGGAATGACATGGCCTTAAGAATGAAGACGGTGGCTCGATTCCTCGATAATAGGAAACTAATCCTCCTTCGATCAGTGAAATAGTAAGAGACAGCAATGGCGTGACCGTTAAGAGTATTAAGAATCACCTCATAAGATGGAAAGAATTCTTTGAGACTAAACTTAATCATGAATCGCCATCTTCTGCCTCTGATATAACTGATATGTTCTTCGAATCATACGTTTGTATTTGCGAACAGAAGAAGAAATAATTTCCGTTATCCATAAGTTTAAGACCAATAAGACTTCGGGAGAAGATGGTCTTCGGGCTGAACTCTTCAGATGTTGCCCATTGTCCTTTATAACGTACTTTCAACAAATTTACTCTTTAGTATGGAAAAAAGAAATATTACCAGATGATTGGAGCAAAGCAATTCTCCCAATTCTCAAGAAAGATAGGATATACTGCGACAATTATCGAGGATTAAGCCTACTAGACGTTTCAGCAAAGATTCCCTTTCCCTTTGCTTCCCTTTTACTCAACAGACTTATGGCAGTACAGAAAAGCAGGATACGCCCTAATCAAGCTGGATTCAGACCAGGGCGCAGTTGTGCTTACCAGATATTTACATTAAGAAAGGTATTGAAACACGCTTCAGATATTTGCAATCCGATGTCACGTCTTTCATCGACTCTGCTTTTGATTCAGTTGCAATTGATAGAGCGGCACTTTGGAGAGTGGTGGAACGCGATGGTGTTCCAGAGAAGACCATTCGACTCATAAAGGTATTTCATGAGCATACATCGGTGCAAGTCTGTGTATATAGGGAAGCTCCTTCGAAATAAGGACTGGTTTTCGTCATTTGTGTTCTTTCCTCTACAATATTCAACTATACGATAGACTGGACATCAGATATAGCTTGTCGGCACTCAAGAGGTGTCCAAATCAGTCCAGAGCGTATTTTAAATACGCTAATTATCTAGTCCTTTTTCAATTATGATGAAATGTAAATAATGCTAAATAACGTATCAGCAATTGCAGCGAGAATCAGATTCAGGATCAATGTAAATAAAACGAAAGCCTTTCCGTCTTATTTCCAAGAAACTGATAAAATGCCTCTTTTTGTAAATTCATTGCAGATTGAGGAAGTACTTGATTTTAAATACCTTGAATCCACTCTATTACTGAATGGCCATGCAAAAGACGATATTGCAACGCAGATCCCGGGAGCTAAAAATGTGTTCTTCCAGTTGACAAAATCTTTATGCAGCCGTTATGAAATCACCATAAAAGCGAAAGTCCGCATTTATAAAGCTGCGATTCGTTTGATCTTGCTATATGGCTGCGCGATATGGCCAATGAGAGTGAAGAATATTGAGAAGCTTGCCTTTGAGAATTCATGTCTAAGTTGCATTTTACGGTCCGCAGAGTGGATAAGATCTCACATGATTGCATCTATCTTCGCTCAAATACCACTTATATTAATATTAATATTAAATAATGTTATCACAAAACATCGTCTTCGCTGGTTACGCTCTCCGTCGTTCGCCGCAGGAATTGATGTATATTTCGTTACTTGCTAATGTGATGGATGGCAAAAGCGAGGTGGGCCAATCAAGACCTGGACTGATATAGTCAGAAAAGATTTTGAATGAATGGGTGGACCAGCAATATATGGACTTAGACGATGGAAAAAGGAATGGCTTCTATTACTATTAACCAGATCGAGCAGCTTGGAGACACCTTAGTTTTGTAGCCAGTGCAGCCAGCCTAACCAGTAATGCTGAGAAGAAGAGAAGATAGAAAAAGAAGAAGATAATTTGTTAGATTAGATATTGGGTTAGATAACTTGTATAAATATCAAATATCAAAATATCAAAATATCAAAAAATATCAAAAAAATTCTTAGTTTGCATGAGTGGACCGTATTATTATTGTTCTATCAAAGTGCACCATTTTTGATTTTGCTGCATTAATCGGCATTTCTAAGTCTCCTGATCAAGTGCCATATCTGAAATTTATTGAAATTATTCCTTATATTTCTTTCGTTCAGAATTTTCCCAAAGAAATTCTTTTTTGTGCACATCATTCACATTTATAAGATATATATATTACCATTCGCATATATATTCGCATTGCGAAATTCGTTAGTCCTTAAGGGATGATGGAGAGCGTGTCCATAGGCGATATTGAATGATTTTTCCAGTGTTACAATTTTTACATGACAGGTTTATTTACTCCTTTCAAGAGAAGATATTAAAGGAGTAAAAAAATAAATATAAACTTTTAAAAAAAGTGATAAATTTCGATTAATAAATGAAAGCAAAAACAACCGCCCCACATAAATCTTTGTGTCTGGGATTCAAATGATTAAAATCTAAGATAAAAATTTGTCGCTGCTTCTTATCGAGCAATGAAAATGATGTTTAGATCTCGGCTGATGAAAAATCAGTTGTGGAAAGCGAGAAGAAGATGGCACTAATTGAAGAAGAAATCGAAAACTTGGACAACAAGTTTTTATTTATAAAATTTTATTTATTAGTAAAGGGACAATAGATAAGCACTATTCTTAGTAAAAGATAAGTGCAACAATAAAATATATCCGAAAGAGATGATATGAGATATGACATGAAAATGTCAAAAATTTACGAAGTTGAACTGGTCTTCCCAGTACTCGCTTATCACTACATCCCTTAAAATCTCCAAAATCTTGTAGCATTTTAGCACCTTTCAATTTCCGTTATGCGCTTAGTTATCTTATCTTCGAAAGCTGTCTTATAATTTAAATAATTATAATTTGTTATAATAAGAATAAATTAGAACCTTAATAACGGAGAGAAATTGTGAAATTAAAAGAAAGATGGTTTTTGAAAAAGATAAATCATGAAGAATGTATAAAAAAGCAAAAAGTAAAATTTGGAAATTTCACTTTTGGAAATTTAGGGAGTTTTAATTAGGGAGCAAAGAACATTACTGGATCCGAGTTGCTACTATGTGGAGTTGCAAAGAGAATGAAGTATAACGGTATGTAAGAGTATAATCAAGAGTTTATAATAAAAGGGTATGAAATATGAAAAGGTTTTGTTCCTAGCAAAAAAAATAACTAGGTTTTAGAAGGCCTGGTGATTCTTAAGGGAATACAGATGAGTCTATGGGCATTTTAACAAAAATATGCATGGTCTGATGGAGTGTTAGAAGAATATAACAAGACTGAGTGCGGAACTGGGTCATGAAAGGATCATGGGAAAAAAGGAAATATGGTGGCAGTAAGCTAGATTTGGAAGAGGCAAATAAATAGAAAAGAATTTAAAGTGATGTGAAGTATGGCAAAAGAGATTAGCTCTTTGGGAAATTTATAGTATATGATAGGCAGTGGCGATATTCATTAACCTAAGGTTTTAAGATATTCATTGAACTATAAAAATTTTTCCAAATCAATTTAAATAAAACTAAATTACTTGATTATTATTAACTGAATATGGAGAAAAAAATAAGAAAGAAGTATTCTTATTCACAAAATTTATTTGAAAAAATTTATTGCAAACAAACAGTGCTAAAGATTTGTAAAGGATAGGTCGTAACGAAAAACATTTTTAATACTACTGTGCCACTGTAAGATTAACGTAGTATAAGAAGCCAGTGAAGTCAAGATGAGTATAAGAAAATTAAGAAAATATTTCTTTCTGGTTTTAAATAAAAGAACTCCGTGCAATTTGAAAGCTTATTATATTTAGAAATGTAGAAAAAAAAGAAATATAAAAAGGGAAAATGTAAAGAAATATAACAAAGAAATAAGAAAGCTCTGAGAACTTCATTCATACAATCGATGGGTTCCAAATGGCTAAATTTATAGAGAAATTTGTATTATGATTCTTCCGCAGTGTTCCATATTAATAAAAGTACTATAAATTTCTATATAAATTTGTTGAAAGTTTTAGCAGGATTTTGAGATAGCAGTTCCGGAATAACAGGAGTTGAGGAAGTAAGCTGTATATGAACGTAAAAAAATGTCTTTGACCGCTTAGGACGCAGTTAGGTGGAACATCTTCCAAAGATAAATAATCGAGTATAAGAAATAGAGAATTTAACAGGGATCGGGAAGAATTTTGGATTAAATAAATGAGTTTTTGTGAGCATTTATTGAATGTCATGTTCAAATTTAATTTGAAATCACTTTTGCCTAAAAAATTACACTTTTACTTGAAGAAAACTGAACAAATTTTTATAAACCATTTCTTTCCTTTTTTTGTATGTATGTTAATTACTTGGTATAATTTCGTGAATGTATGTATGTTAATTACTTGGTATAATTTCGAAACACTTTATCTTCCATTGTTTTTTTACATTATGCTTTAAAAAAAATTACATTTTCAGAGTGCAGATCTTTCAAGCAAATAAGTGTTCGGCATGTGACACATCACTTCAGTTACCAGCTATTCATTTTCTTTGCAAACATTCTTATCACGCTCACTGTTTGGAATCGTACAACGAAAAAGCTGATTATTGCCCAGCATGTATTCGAAAAAATCCTGGAAACAAGTTAGTTCAAAATTATATTGGTCGAAGCCAAAAATACCTTTATTTGAATATTTCAGACTTAATGACTCTTTAAACGACGCCAAAAATTTCAGTAGTAGAGGGGCGTACAAAAAGTTTCAAGAAGAGGTTATAATTTGATTATTCAGTTAAATATTTTATTTTTATTTAAAGATTTATGAAAAATATGAAAAATTATTTCTGAAAAGATTATTAAACACTTAAAACTATTAAAATTTTAAAAAAGTGTTCTAATTTAAACCATAAAATTTCTAAAATATCTTTTTTAAATCCTTATATTTCATCATTTGGAGATCGCAAAAGAAAATGTGCTACGATTATCGGTTTTAGATCAATAGTTCAGTGGACTGTATGCAAACCATTGCTTCCTATATTGTAAATGGTTTATACGAGGTAGAGAAAAAAGAAGGAAATGGGAAAGGATCCTCGGGCTTCGACAACCAAAATAAACCTGATTTATCTCCATCTTTCAACCAGTTACCAAACATTGTTAATAGTTCCTTGACACCCACAAATATCCCACCAATTGGATCTAATTTAAATCCATTTAGTGATGATGAAAACCCTTCTTCAACAAATCCGTTCGGCGATTTTTGATTCCTCTGTGATTTCTGTGATTCCTCCTTTTAATCCAAAGTATAGATCTTTGATCTTTTGCCGCAATTTTACTTTTTGAGCTACATTTTTGATACATTAGGTTAAAATATCTTTATTAAATTAAAGTATATGCATCCTCATTTTTGTAAAAAAAATTTTTTGTAAATCTTTGGCTTTCCCGTTTTTAATCTTTCATTTTTTTAATAATTCCGGCTCAAAAAGATATTCGTTTCTGATATGTTTCATATATTTAACCATGAACAAATATTAACAGTATTTAATGGACAGTTATTAATATTCAGAAATGAACGATATTTAAAAACATTTCAGTGAAAAATAAATATTGAAATATTCATAAATGGAGTAAATGGAGATATATTATTTTATATTATTCAATAATTGGATGTTAATCTCATAACAAAGGTTACATCATGAAGAGGATATCGTTGCAAACCCATCTGATTTTTCATTTCTTCATATTCAGCAACTTGAAGAGGAGAGTAATGGTTCCATCTCAGTAATGTGCCCATTGATATGTTCTGTAAATTTCAATTTCATTTCTTGAATTCCTTTCATTTATTGTAAGAAAAATATTAAAATCAAAATTAAACTAATATTTACGGCAGGGAGTAAAATCAAAATTAAACTAATATTTACGGCAGGGAGGATATCATTTCCTGGTTGTTTTTTTTCGAAGTGTCCTTTGTCTTTGAGTTCCAGTTCATAATCATCCACCAAATTCTAAAACAAAAATTGTGGTAAATTTCCTTTTCCTAAATGTAATTATTAAAATGAAAGTGGAAACATTCGAAATAATGCATACATTTTCTAGCTCATGTACAGCAATTGATGTACCATTAATATTTTCTATCTCTTCTTCCAATTCCTTTTCTTCATTAGTATCAAAATACGGTTTACCACGTCCATCGCATTTGCATTCAATCAAATCATGTGTATTGCAGTTACTAAGAGGGTCAAACATAAATATATCTTTGAGATCATCACTTGAAAAACTAACTACATCTGAAAATCTTGAAATGAAATTCGCTCTTAATATAAAAAATTTTTGGATAAATATAAATAAATATAAATAAAAATATTAATTTTATTAGTATATATCCCAAAAATATACATTTAACATTTAACATTTCTGCAAAGTCTTTATCTGCTCAATTTTTCTTCTGAATTCGAATTGGTTAGTTATGAGATTTATGAAATTATGAAACTCATAGCTTTTTCTGGCGTTTAAATCATCTAGGAAAATTACAGAAAAATAAAATTTGTAGATCACTTACTAGCAGAAAAAAAGCTTCATGACGATGTAGCGGATCAATTTTACAAGAAAAATCAAAAATTCAAAAATTAACCACAGTAATGATTTGATCTCAAAAACTAACCATCAGTTACAGCACTGGATTCAATAAAACTGCTTAAACCACTTTTTTTGATTTGTCGTTGGAGAATTTTTTCATCTATAGTCCCCTAAATTTTTCATATCCAAAATTTCCCTCTATTAATATGAACAATATTTAACATTAACAACTTTCAGCTTCCCCCCCTTTTATTAAATAAAAGTTTTAATATTCCACTGACGGTGGCAATACCATGAAAAAGACTTTAACAATTAGATTAAAATTTTTTCCAAGAAAATACCACATTAATCCCAGAGAATATAAAATATAAAAAGAAACCGCCGTTAAAAGACGATATATATAACATGGTTTCGATTGGCCCTGTCTCCAAATACGCGCCATTGCTTGAAGATCAACGGAGGGATTCCAATCAAAATCGAAAAGAATCAAACGATTTGCTCCAATAAGATTGAATCCAACGCCACCTCCAATTTAACGAGAAATAATATTCAAGAAAACAAAAAATCCCCATCAAAAAATCCTATCTGCAGAATGCTTAAAATTAATAATAAAGAAAGAAAATATTTATTAAGGGGCAGAATGGCTCAGAGGATTATTGCTCAATCCCAATGTTAAGGTCCTGCTTCCCGCAGGAGTAAACCTGTCCAGAAATCCGAAATAGCTGCGATTCACCTGTACTTTTATTGCCAAGGACATATTTGTCTTGTACAAAAAGTGGAGAGAGTCTAACCAGAAATGGAGAGGACTCTTAAAAAAAAAAAGAAACCTGCTTTAGCGCTCAAAAGCAAGACAGCACTAGAAGAATTTTCTTTATTAAACTCATCGACAATGTTCATCCTTTTTTGATGTTGTGTCGCACCATCAATCCGCAATGAAGAAATACGGAGACTCTTACATAACCCTTCCAACATATCGAGCGTCTAAATTAAATGAAAATCACTTTAGCAATGTAAAGATGGGCAATAATAATAATTCCACAATAATTAAAAATGTAATAAATCCATAGTAACAAAAAATGCTATTTTCCTCGCAGAACAAGCACATACAATCAACATAACACAGCCGAACATAAAACTTATAGAATTAAAAAATTATCTGAAAACCTTGTTATTTAAAATTAAAAGCCTATTAAATTTTAATAGATAATGATGAGATCAATGTTAAAATAAATATTACTATAAAATAAAAAAATCATAAAATAAAATCCAGTAGTAATAAGGGAAGTTCAACAAGCAAATGATTAAAAGTGTGAATCCGAAGTGGTTCATACACTAACATGAAAATCCAAGGATAGATAAAAAATCAGGATGAAACAGAGAAAGCGAACTAACTTTTTTATAAAAAAATTTTATGAATTTCGCATTCCTGCTTTATAGCTTTTACTTACAAATTTTCAATTTCCCGACTAAAAGTGAGAAGTCAAAAAAGTCAGAAAAAATTCAGACTAAAAAACTTATAAAATTTTCAAAAAAGGATAAAAATACCAAAATATATCATATCACTGACTTTGGTAAAATTAGAGACGACAACAACTTTTTCATGAATTTCATTGAATGCAGTAATTAAATCTGTGAATGCACTCAGTTTTCCTAAAATACTGATAACTGATTTCCATTAATTGACTTCTAAATAGAAAACTTATGAAATCATATCAAAGCATTACAAAAAAAAATTTAGGAAAAATTACGCAATATTTCGTAATAAGCTGTTAATATCATATTATCGCGATATTATGTATAATCATACAAAAATATCAATTATCAGAAGGAATATATGAAAAAAATAGAATTATCTAATAAATATCATATAAATAAAAACATGACCAAAAAAAATTTTGCACAGCTAACCCGAATCGCTAATTGATAAGCAATTATTGTTAAAAGAATGAGGAAAACAAAGCGAAATTTTTCTATATATTTCTTTTTCTGCTGCCTACAACATCTTTGTTAAACATTTTGGCTGAAATGAATTGAAATCTCAAAGATTTTCGAAAAAAATGCATTAATATTTTAATTTAATGCTTGATTTAATTTATTTTCAACAAAACATCAAAATTCATCAAAAAAAAGTGAGAAAAGTTGTTGAGCAGATTATCACCTTGATTGAAAGTCATAACTTGGATTTTTCCACTAGCAGAAATAAACCTTTCATTAAAGAATCCAGAGTGGCCACATCTATTTTTTACCGTTTTTTCGAGCAAAAAACTTCCATAAAGGCAAATGGAGCATAATTTGAATATTTAATGCTATTACAGAATACCAAAATATATTAATGAATTTTTAAACTTTAAAAAATTATAATATTTTAAAAAACTAACATTACTGGTCAAATGATGCTGAATGCTTAAATGAAGAATACATGGATGATTGCACAATTTTTTTAAGCAATCAATGAGAACTAAATGTTCCGAATGAAGCAGTTCAACTATTTGGCTATAAATTTCTTTTTGTAATTTGGAAGGTCGACACCAAAAGATATAATCATCTGAATAAAAACAATCTAAAATAGAAAAAAAAAAACCTATATATAATATATAATATTATATTATATTTAATAAATGAAATAAATATATATTATAAAATTATATAAAATATTATATAAAATTATATAAATCAATATAAATTACTATATAACGATAATATTTAAAAAAAATCATCGCGTCCTTGTGAGTGGTAAAGGTTATCCTCAACTTCAGATCCTCTACCAAAGATTTTACCCTAGGAAATTATTTTAACTGTTCATAGCAATCCTTCTGGATAGAGATCTTTGATTTTACACCTGGAAACTGTTAAAGCTTTTATAATTTAGGGGTCACACTCCAAGTGCTCTAATTATCACTGGAATTACTTTCGCCTTCACTTTCCACATCATTATATTATAATTAATTATAATATATGTTAAGAAATATCAGAGCTTGAAAGAACTAGAAAAGCGCATTAATAGGAACAGCTAAGATATTGCACAGAACCTTCAATCTCTCACGCCTCTGGTAAAGGACTCAAGGTTGAGGATGATCTCATTTACAGGGGGTGAGGAAGAATTTTATACATTCAGTAATCAAGAAAATTCTCTGGGGTCTTTATCAGATATTGCTTTTTTTATTTTTTTATAACCATCTAACTCCTTTTAAATACAAATTTAATAAAAATCAAAGTGAAAGATAAATAAATAATAAAGATAAATAAAGATAAAGATAAATTTTAAAAAAATCATAAAATAACGTTTAGGTGGTAGCCATTCCAAATTAACTTCACCCGTTCGTCGCAGCATTACTTCTGATATAAGACGATTTAAATTGCTGCACTAAAATTGTTTCAAAACGATGAAAAGTATATCTGCAAAAAGTTAAGCAGAATATGAAAAAAAATTTTTTTCAGAAACAACTTTTTTTTAAACTAATAAATTTTGGCTTTTGATCAGAAAATATCTCAGTTTATCTGAATTCGCATCTTCAATCACATTTATTATAGTTTGAAAAAGAAGTATAAACGCCCTCATCGCCTCTTAAAAAGAAAATGGCACAAATACTAAAACCGATGATCTATTTCCCCCTCATTTATGAATGACTGCGCATTTTATTACAGTAAATTTAAAAATATTTATATAATTTTTTCGTAAGATTCACTATGATAAACAAAATATTTGGGAAATTCGTTGTTACCTCCACTTCAGTATCACATCGTTTAGCGAAATCTGCCACAGTGCCGAAATAACCTGGACGAACCAAATCAAGCAATGAATAAAATTCACTTAAATCATTTTGAACGGGAGTACCCGTAAGCAGTAATATCCGATCAGCTTTTATTGATGCAATCTAAAAATTAGAACATAAATTTTTCTTTATTCTTTTATGGATGAAATGTTAAAGGAATAAAGAATATTACCAAAGCAAACCTGTTGACGCAGACGACCATTAAGATTTTTCAGTCGATGAGCCTCATCACAAACCACTAATCCAAATGATCTACGACTCAACAAAGCAAATGATCGTGAGACCATTTCATAACTCATTAATGCTACTGGATTATATCTTGCATAAGACCAGTAGCCGTTTAATTCTTCCACCTTATTAATCTGATATAGCTAAATGCATTCAGATTTATAGCATTAAAGATTGTTTATAAAAACAATATAAGAATGATTGAAGTCGAAACAAAAAATGAGTCTAACAGAAATACAAAAATAATCTAACTAATGATCGCGCGTTGGGCAGCCATTTTATAAATTCAAACTGCCAATTAGCTAGCAAGGAAGATGGAACGATGAGTAAACAGTTATGGATTAAAGAATTACGCCCTCTTCCTCTTAGAAATGCCCATATGAGTGAAATAGTTTGCACTGTTTTTCCAAGACCCATTTCGTCTGCAAGAATTGCTCCACTGTTAACCAACTAAAAAAATCTTTCATCAAAATACGAATTAAATTAAAAATAAGGATAAGGAAAATAAGATAAAAAATACTTTAAGTTTCTCGTATAAAAAAAAAATTCCATCTTTCTGATGAGGACGTAACGATTTTGACAGAAAATCATGGAGGATGATCGGCGTTCCAGAGTTATCCTCAACTTCAACCTATCAAAAATAAGTTAGAAGATTAAAAAAAAATTATTTTTATTATTATAATAATTATTTATTATTATTATAATTATTATTATTTAATTATGGTAAATTAAACCTTATTAACAATGAAGTTGTCCATGATATCACTTTTCTGATCCTCAAATCCTTGCTCATCAAATTTATGAATCATCTTTAGCGGCTTCTTAAAAGAATTGCTGTGAAAATATTGAACATCTGAATTGAATATATCTGTATCAATACACTTCTCTTTTTCCGTCAACATTTCATTATCTGAACTTTTTTTTATAATTATGCAAATTTAATATAACAGTATATATTTGACAGATATTTTCGATGTACCCTTAAAAACTTAACAAAAGAATCAATGCTAATTTTAAAAAATCAAAGAATTTAAAAACGAAAAAAGACTGAATACAACTGATAATGAGATGTGGTACCAATATTTTCCTTTATAACTTTACACTGAATTTCTACTTCCAAACCACAAATTATAATTCGAGCACCTTCATCTAATTCATTTAAGCATTTTCGTGTAAAAGCACTCATTCTAGCGATCTCTTTTCTTTCCTTAAACAAAATTATTCGCTTATTAAAAATAAATATAAATAAACATAAAGTAAAAAATTTTAGATTTTATAAGATCCTTTAAAAATAATTCAAAATGCTTTAATTCAAAAAAATATGAAAAAAGGAATGGAAATAATAAAGTTAACCGATTTAATTAACATAATTTCTATGTGTTAATCCTCAAAATTATTTATGCAATAAATATTTGAACTATAAACCAATTTTACCTCGTTTAATAATACTGCGGTGCTCAATTTACACAACAAATAACCATCACCTTCCCACTTTTTATGTTTTCGTGAAGACACTTTACCATATAAAACCGAAAACTCACGCCAACCATCATAATCGATCGATTCTTCTAAATAGTTTCGATATTAAATATTTCACACTGAACATAAAAATAACCCATAGCTTTTTATATTACATTCTATCCAATGAATAACGGTTAACTTATAAGTGAAAATCTATAATAATGTAAGAGATGAAGGACGAAATAAATCAATGCATCACAATAGGAAAGAAAATTAAATTGTTCGAAGGTAAAAGAGAAAGGGTTTAAGATTAAGAAAAAGAAAATAAACAAGAAACATCAAATCAACGTTTTTCAACGTCCCTCCTAGATTTTTATCAGATAACTATCAAATATCAATTAAATTTTTTTATAATAGGAGCACCATTCTTCGCCTTCAGCTATAATCGAACTTCTATCGAACTAATTTTATTTGCTGGCACCATTCTTTATAGTTCCATATTTTTGATATTTTTAATTTGAGGTGCAAAATATTTCTTTGGCCACATTCTTCATCTTCTTCATTTAAGCTACGAGTTCTGTCAAAAAATTGCAATTGAAGTTTTCAATTATAATTAGACTGATTTCGCTTAATTAGAAAATGTTACAAATATTAAAGTTTGATTGATGAGCATCAAACTGCCAATCACATCCAACAAGAAATAATACAGAAATATGGAGGACTGAAGGTTTAAATTATCCACCATTCATAAAACTTGGAATTTTTAGTAACCTTGCAATACGCAAATTATACGGAGGATTACTGTTGTTGAAACTTGAAATTCTATATCTTGCTAAGATTTTATTCGATGAGAATAGTGATAGGACCATTTTGTTTCGTGATGAAATTGCAGAATACCAGATTCTTTCGAACCACAAATCGTTTTGGCAAAAAGTTTAGAAAAATTACACGACATAAGATGGTCGAAAATTCTATTTCCTCATTTTTGTTGACCTGCACATCCAGTAAAGACCATCAAAAATAGCATTAAAAACATTCCTTTGGTTTAAAAAAGGGAAAAACGACTGCAGCATGGGATTTCGGGGAAAAAATGATAAAAACTGTGGACTTTATGATGAAAACTTTTGCTAATTAGCTGATCATTAAACGAGAAGATAGTCTAGTCAATTAGTAGAATGAAAATAAAAATTTTTTAAGCTGTCCTAGATTACTGGATATCCAGTAACTTAGGAAAGTTCAAAAAAATTTTCGGCAAAATCTGCAATAAATACTTTCCAGCAAAGCTGGAGATATATGCTTAAGTCAAACAGTACGCCTAGCATGCCTAAAAATGTAGAAATCTTAATTTTCCTAGAATCAAATAAAAAATATTTTGTCGAAAATATTTTTGATTAAACAAACCCAAATATATATCGATATCTTTTTATTTAATCCGTTCTTTAAAAAAATTATCTTCCGACATCGGTTTCTGTCAAAGGGTAAAACTGCCCTTCTGCACAACCCTAATATATTTTCGAAAGCAAAAATAATTCTAACTATTATTATAAAATTTCGCATTCACACGAAAACTGTTATTATCATTATCATGCGACAGGACTACATTACGTTTGCCAATGTTATCGTGCCTCACCACCACATGCTGATTTCTAATTCTCTTCATTCCTGAAAATAATTATAACAAATTGTGCAAGAGGGATCTAAAAAAAGTTAAAAAGCTACAAAAACCTACAAATTCCTTAAATACAACGAATTGGGTCTTAAAGGAATGAAAACAATGAATTTCAAACTATTGCATTATTACTTTATTGCACTATTAAAAAGTGCAATTTCCTATGAGAAAATTAAGTTAGAAAATTGGCCGATAAGAAATGTACAGTGAAAGAACCTCAAATTAATTAAATAGAATTTTCTCATCAAAATTTATTTAAAAAATAAAAGATAAATAAAGAACTTAGATAAGAAATTTAATGCTTAAAAAATTTAATGTTGCCTTGTTGCAAATCAAATTCACTATGGAAAATTTTAATTGAAAAAGACAGCGCAAAATGTTTCGAATATTGAAACTAATATAATATTCATACCTTATAATGTATCATAGTGTTCATATATGTAAAACAAATATATAAAAAATTGCAAGTTTGATAAATGAAAAGTTCGCCGCAGAAGCTGTGAAAATTTAGTGAGCAATTCAATTCAATCACAAAATAAAAACCAAAAATCAAGGAATAACAATGTTGTATAATATTCTACAAAGTTATGCAATATTGTAATTGTATAGTGATAAGAAAAATACAACAACATTTTATATTGCAAAAAAAGGTATCCAAAAAGAAATGTACAATTTTATATATGAAATGACGTAAAAAAACTATCATATGAAGGAACGAATAACATTCTACCCTCAAGAATTACAATTTAACTACATTTCTAAAATAAATTATATTCCAAAATCAAAATAAAAGAAGCGAATTTCAAAATTTATAAGAGAAGTTAGCAACGCCTAATGATAAACCGGAACAAATTTATAAACAGTTAAAAGTACCTTTAAAATCGAATGAAAAATATAAATTTATAAAATATCACATTGCCAAAAAAAATAACAAAAAGAAAAATAAGTAAAGAAAAGTCTTTCCCTTTCCCTTTAGAATTTCTCTCAATTTGTGAAAAAATATCTTTTTGCTTCCATTTATATATTTTCCTATAACCAGTGGTTGAAATTAAGGATTTGATCATTCAATTATTCTTGCATCAGTGACTTTACCAAAAGTATCCGTTGTTACCACTTCATTACTCTTGATCATTTCCTCATCCAATACAATTCGTCTATTGATGCGATCTGCTTTTCGCCATAATATTATTTCCTAAAATTGGAACTCCTTCAATTAAAATTAAAATGAAAATTAAAATTAACAAACTCAAAAATTATACCTGTTGTTTGAAATAACGACGATCTTCTTCATCAACTAGGACCAGATTAAGATAATAGCGAACAGAAAATTTTTTACAAATATCCCGCATCGTCGGAGTTAATTCATAACCAGCCAAAAACAATCGGATTGGAATCGATTCACCTTAAAATGTGAATAATTCCAAAAACTAAAATTCTAGAATTTTTTACAGAAAAAACCGATAAAAAAACTTTTTAAAATTCTTAATAGATATAAAAAAAGAATAGACAAAAGAAATTAATACCTCGTACAGGAGCGCCATCCATTATTTCAAATTTTGTTAATGTTTCATTTTCATTGAATATGTTTGGTGCAAGCCCAACAGTTTCTCTTTTTATTATTGCAATTTCCATATATTTTATTTTTATTCGAACAAGAAGAAAATAAATTTTTCCGACAATGACATCCTTTAAATGATACCTGAAAAATTCCTTGGCTAGTTTACATTGAATGTCTGAATGTAAGCTTAAAAATTACTAATAGCAAATAACTGCTATGAAGTCATACAAAGATTCTTTATTCTTTTCCAGCGCTCTACTATCTCATTAATGAATGAATTCCAAGTTTATCAAATATATATATGGTTAAAATATATATATATATATATATATGGTTTCATTTTTAAGTTGAAAACTTCGACTAAAAACTACAGAGTGAAGTTTTAATAAATGATAAAATCTACTTTGAGCGATTATATTCAAATTCGATGTGGAGACAATCTTCAATACCAACTTCCATTTTAATACTACTATTAGTATCAGGATATGATGACAATGTATGCACAATTAAGTCCATTTCGCGAATTATATCCGTTAACCTTCGCACAACAACTAATCGTAAAAAATATCTAAAATTCAGTGAATTTCAATTTCAAGAATTTATTATCAAATTAAAGATAACAATATTTCAAACTTAATGGTCATTTAGAAATGAACATAAATGAACACAAATTTTAAATTAAATTAATTTCGCAATAATTAAAAATTAATCTCAATTTCATCTTGGTGTCTATATATGATTCATAAGGTATTCAGCAACGGGCATAATATTAAATTAATTTCACAATTAAAAATTAACCTTAGTTTCACATTGGTGCCCACGTATGATTCATAAGGCTTTTCAACCTGCTGAAAATCAAAATGAAAATTAGCAGAATTGATAATCTCTCCAGGACGTGCCAATTCCTTAACAATCGCTATAAAATCATACTGATTTCCTCTGTCATAATATACTTCTAAAATATAAAAATTTCTTGGAAAAAAAATTCAGATTTATGAATTTATATTAACAATTTTCAGTTTTTCTCAGAATTTTTAAGCGAATTCCCTCACCTGTTTTTTATTCCAGAATAACCGATTCACAAACGCCTTTTCTTTTAACATAAAATATGGTTTAAAATTCGGAAAATTTTATAAAAATTAAATTTTAAAAAATAAAAATATAAACAATATAATATAAACAAAGGTGCACCTTCAACTATCCCATGGATTTTTTAAACTTTTTTAGTAAACGACTGCTAGTGCGAAAGTTAATTACCTATTTGACCGATAAATTCAATGCGTACTCCTTGATGTTCAAGTTTCTTTTTCGTTGAAATAGTTACATTACCAGATACCGATTCTCCATCGTAAAATAAATAATGCATTTCTTTCGCTCCATCTTCCCCACGGATATGAGCAGTCTAAAAAAACGATAAAATGTGGCAAATAGATATATTTAGGTTAAATTAGGATATATAAGATATAAACCTATTTAAATTACTAGCAGTGATCTTCATAATATTTAGAAAACATGGCGATGGGATAGAAAATGAGAATTTTGACTGAAATACCAATTAATTGGGAGATTAACAAATTTATGTCTAATGAGAAGAAAAGAAATTGCAACTTAGGAAATGGGAAGATCAAATGTATGTTACTTTGCCTAATTTCAAAGAACATGAGTCCTTGATATAGATGAAACACTCATCGAAGCACTGCAAGTGCAAGTTAATAGAGAACGAAATAATCTCTATCATTTAAAAAAAGATAAAAAAATTTCCGCAGAAGATGGTATTTTAAAATTAATATTCTTCACAAACCAATTTCTACTCTCTAGTATGGAAGAACTAATATTTTCGCGCTTCTTTTGCTGACTAGATTTATAATTTACAAGACAGCAAAATCTGCCCTAACCAAGCTGGATCCAGGTCGAAGTGCAGGTGCAATAACCAAATATTAATTTTATTGGAGCTGACTAAATATTCATATTAACTGGAGTGGTAGAATATCGCATATCACATAATATTCACCTAGCATTAAATACTGGCAACTCATAATTTTTTTTTATTGATTTTGTTGCTGTTTTCGATTCGGTTACAGTGGTGCTCTGGAGAATGAGATAATGTTATAAAAGACCATTCAAGGCAACTTACAAGAGCATAGCATCATAAATATATGAAGTGACAGATCCTCTCGAAATGAAAACTGGTGTACGCGAGTTCTATGTCTTTTCTTTAACAATATTCAGTTTAACGATATGATTATGGACATTTCTTGGGGGCCCTCAAGTGACGTACAAGTTAATCCAGAGGACAATTTTGAAAATCTTGAGTAGACTGAAGTTCTTTTTGCTGATAATTATGAAAAGATACTATAAAGTGTATGTAACTGCAGAATAAATGTAGACAAAAGCCTCTTTATCCTATTAATCTCACCACGAATTGAGGAAGTTCCAGACTTCAAATATCTTCAATCCAGTTTTGGCCAAGCGAAAGATAAAATGCACCTCGGATAACCGCAGCATTCTTTAGCGAAATCTAGCGAAACCTCAGTAAAATCGCCGCGAAATCACCAAAACGAAAATTCGCATCTATTGGTTGCAGCGTACTTCACCATGTTAAACAAGCTGCGAACCACGGCCACTGAGAGTGGTAAAATCCCAAATTACTGCATGCACCTTCATTCAAATTGCATTAATAATATAAATAGTACCTATAGAAACAATACCGTCCTTTACGCTGATGAGGCCATGCTTTTTCCCGCTTACCGCAGGGATTAACACACATCTTCTTGCTAATGGCAAAAAATTGAAGAAAAAGTAACGACAAACTTTTCGATTATCTGCATCATCCAAAATAATAGAGATATCAGCCGCTTGTCCAAATCCAAAAAATGCCTAAATTCAGCGATCAATTTCTGAAGCCAAATTTCGAAATATTTCAATGAAATTTTTAAGAAGTCGAGAGAAAAATTTCACGAACTGCGATTTCAAGAAATCCACTTTTATTTTTTGAAAAATTCTCTTATTTAAATTCATTTAAAAAATATATAATAAATGCGCGCATATTGATAATGAACAGAAGAATTTTTCCAGGCGAATTCTTTTAAGAAAAATAATTTAGCACTAAAATTTTAAATAAAATTATTTAAAATAAAAAAAAGACGAACCATTGAAATAAATCGAGTTTACGAATTGATTTCGAAACAAATATTCATCGAACAAGGAAAAAAAATTACTTTCAAATTTTTAGCTTCGAACGATCGCTGAAAAATCAATTATTTTAATAAATCAGACCTTCCACGAGTTTTTTTTCAAGTTTTTAACTCTAAAAACTTTATAAATCACTAATAAAAAAGCAAAAAACTCGCCAAATACCGAAACAGGTTTTTCGACGAAATTTATGACGAAAACTCAAAAATCAATAGCATTTCTCGTTCTCTTTCCATCTAGTCACATTCGATATTTCCTTGTCGCGTTAGTTTTCGATCGCATTTTATCAGCTAAGACCATTTGTTCCTCATAGCGGGTGCTTGCATGGTAATCGGGGGGCCGTCTGGCCGTCTGGTTTGTCACATATGGGGACGGTTTCGGCCAAATAAAATAACAACGGATATTGGCAAATTTTGAAAAAATACAAAACTTGTTAAATAAATTATTATTTAGTCATTACCTATGAACGCGATACAATCACATAAATTTATTTGTGCAAATTGTTTTAGCCTGAAAATAATCGATGATAAAGTTCCAAGGGGCATCGAAGAATGAAATTCACGTTATTATTGGATTGTTTTCCAGGAAATGGTAAAAGATTATTCAAAATCTTATTAGTGCCAATTTTTCAATCTTTGAAATTAAGCAATGAGGTTGATAAATTGATAATTATTCCACCCAATTGTTTGCTATTATCTTATTAACAAATTAACAGCAGCAAAATTAGTGATTATTGTATTCTTCATCGAACAGCGCTTACGACCTCTGGTTTGGCTGCCTCTATTCACTGTTATTTCATGATGAGGTGTTGAGTACCAATCCAGAATTATTCTTGCAGTTGAAATATATGTCGAACAATGATTATTCTCGTAATTCGTTTATCATTCCTTTGAAAGGTTAAGAAAAAGCCCGCAATTTATTGAACTATTGTTCACCTATGTTCATTTGATTTAAAATTTAAAATTTTAATTCAATTTATTCAAAATTTGAAGAAAAATATAAAAATTGTTCATTGTTCTGGTTTGAAAATTTCTAATTTTATCAAAATTTCATTAAAATAAAGGTGAAAGGATGTCCGATTGAATCCGAGATTTGTCCCAGATTTTATTGCCAATGTACTACATTTTAGTGGTCGGTTCGTTATTTCCTTATCTTATCAATTCATGTTCGCCGCAGTATCGCAAAGAACTTCACTACCTCGATTTTTACCTCGGCATTAGACCTTTCAACGATGGTCACTTCGAAGTTGAGGGTCCGTCATTATCATTAACTCACACTTAATGCGATAACTAGTAATAAAATATTTTTGAAAGTATTTTTGGCCTTCGAAAGCTCTTTTAACTTCATGTATTGCTTATTGCAGAAGCCTTAACGAATCGATATATAACTAATGCATCAGATTTGGGCTGTAACTTCACGAGTTCGTGCCACTGGAAGAATGCTGATAGTGATGGCCTTCTTGACACATCTGATTTTTACAGATTTTACAAATCTGATTACAAGTCATATCCTATACAAATTGCGCCTGGCAATTCAACTCCAGCCCTAGGTATATCCCGTCAACTTAACTTTTAATAAAAGTGTCCTCTATACTTTTGAGCGGTTGATACTTGAAAATTTTCCATAATTCTTGCACGGAAATTATTTTTTAATTATTCAAGAATAGGATGAAAATTTTGAAATATTTTCGAGGATCGACATTTGCATTCGCTGGAAATACTACAAAAAATGGCCAAAGTGCATTATTAATAAGTTCTCCGGTTGCATGTCAAAGGTCGACTGGAAGATTATTATTTGAGTAAATTGTTTTTATTTCCATTTATTTATTTGCTATTTCCTCAAAAATTTCCTTGCTTCTTTTCGAGGAAGAAAAGTTGCAAATTTTTAATGTATCCAAGAATAGGATGAAAATTTTCAAATATTTGACAAAAACTTGGATTAAACCTTCATAATAAAAATAAAAATAATTTTATTTCAACCAAATTTTGTTAATTAATTTTAGGTATTGGCTGTATAATGAGGCGGCTATTGAAGTTATTTTGTTAAGGACGAAACGAAGGGCTCGCCAACTGCAAGTCAGTATTTCCCATTCCATCATTATTTTAAACTTCCCTGTCGCACTTTTGACACATCTTAGATTAATTAATATCGAATTATCTAGATTTAGTCGAGATTTCCATACAATTTGTGCAATTTGTGCAATTTTTCTCTTTCCCAAATTTGCTTTTACTAAGCAGCAGAAATGAATGCCTTATTAATAGATGAATAGATCTTCCCTGTGTTCAATAATATAAATAAAGGTCTTGTTACGGCCGCCGATGATTTGTGGTTTTATCCAGCCAAGAAACAGTTTATGTGACATAAATATGCCCGAAATAGAAGTGCCATTCCGAATTGGTATTCGAGCTTATAATCTTAGAGATCCATCAGTTGGCAGTTTAGTGATGATTGGAAATATCAATTATATGGCTGATATATGTCTCGAACCAAGTTTGAAAAATTTCTTTTTCTTTTTCTTCTTCTAGTTTTTCCATCTGATTATTGTCGACAAATCTTTTAGTCAAATAATTATTCGGAAATAGAAATGCAGATCGATCCACAACCCTGTTCGACATTTTTTAGTTCAAAAACTGAAGCAGTCTGGATCATCAATACAATAGAAGGAGTCTTGCACGAATTAGTGAAACTTATCATCCTCAAATTGATTTTATTGACCAATGACAAATGAAAATTAATAAAATAATTGTTTATAGAATTATCATCAATATTTGGCCGTACAGCTGTACCACCAATATTTTATCTGCCACTTCCACAATCCGGTTCTGAATATAGTTGCATAGATTATCGATCAAACTGTCTTTGGGCGAATTCATTATCATCTATTTCCGAGTGGAAGATTGGTCGTAATATCAAGCATTGGAATGAATATATAAAATCAAAAACGATGCCAAATGGTACTTTCTTTTATCAGTATGTTGATTCGACCTTTGATAAACCTTATTCGCAATTAAGGTCTGAATTAATCCCATGTACCAAAAGCATTTCTTCATTGTCGTTCAGGTTAATTTTCATTTATTTTATTTTTATGAAATTTTAATGTATTACTGTTAAAATATGGAATATGAAATCAAAAGTAATAAGCAATAAGATGCTAAAATGATTTAAAGAAATTCAGATATGAAATTAAAAATTTTCTTTAGATGGAAAATTAATTCTATAATAGCATTCTTACTTTAGGTACTGGATGAATGAAGGTACGCAGGTGCAGGTGTGTTCAATAAATGAAAGGAATATTGTAATAAGCTGTGCATATTTAAACGAAGAAAATTCTCCTGGTCCTATAATCATCGATGTAGATGCACCAGCCGATGAACCTTTCCGAGTTACTGCTGGCTTAATCTTTTTTTCAGTCGCACCATAGATTTGTTTATTATAATGCGATATATGAAAAATCACCAAAAGAAATTCAGATTTAACTAGAATTTCTCATAATTAAAATAAAAGAATTTTTTGCTCTTTGCTTAAATTTAGTAGTTTTTCGACTCTTTTATCCAATTTTTAAGGTGTAATTTTTTTCGTAAATTTCAGTTTATCTTCGAAATAATTGAATACAGTAATTTGGACGGTGGTATCTTCGTGCTGGATGATATAATATATTCGGCAACGCTTTGTTATGAGGAGAGCACCACCACAGTTTATCACTATTTTATGCATACTCGGCCAAATATAAAAATTAAAATTGAAGATATTTTCAATTTGGAACCGTTGTCACAAGAAATTGTCACTTTTCTTTTTCCATTTTTCATCATTTAATTTCTAAATTATTTTCTTCTTTACTTGACTGATTTGTTTGGTTTTCGATATTAGTTAATAAAAAATAAATAAAAGGCTAAAAAGTAGATTATGATATTGATAAAGCTAAAAGATAATGACATAAATGACTTATGTTGAACATTTTCCATTTCTATTGGCCGTTAGTAATTTTTGTACATTTTGTACATTTTATTGCTGGTAATCGTTTGACTACAGGTTGATACGAAATCATTGGACTGTGATTTCAATCAAAGCTTTTGTAATCATTGGCAAACCATCGGATATTGGTTCCACGGCAAACGAAAAAATCAACCACAACGAAAATCTGGTCAATCTTCAGAAATCCCACCATTTTTTGAAGGCACTATCTCTATTTTCCTTGATAATTGTCATCAATATGTCCAAATTTTACTCAAGTGAATTCTTGTAATATCCTCAAAAAACGATTTTTATTAATTATTTAGATTAACTATTTAGTTCCTTTTGATTTTAATTATTTTTTTTGACATATCCTACATTTGATTCATTCACAATTCATCACTGATTCTTAAGCCGAAGTGTTTTACTATTTTGGAATTGATCCAATTCCAAAAAATATTTGCAGGCAATGTTGCATTGGCTATATTAAATAATAAGAATCGCGTACTGCTAGTTTCACCGCTTACACCATGTGCAATTGATTCAACGATCAAAACTGTTTATTATTCCCAAAATGCGATCCTTAAAATTTGTGTTAAAGAAAAATGCATTCGCAGTAATATTGATGATTCAGGTTCCATCTTTTTCCAATTTAATTCAAAAATTCTCTCAGTTCAAGTTAAATTATTTCTTTTCTTCATCTAACGACACCCACCATTTCTGCTAAGGTGAGATCCTTTCGCTAGAGAATTATTTGGGATAGAAGTACCAATGAGTTCCAAACATACTAAAAGAAAGGAAAAGATTAACAAGTCCACTCCCAACAAGAAATCGAGCCCATGTTTGCTTGCATTTAGTTGGATTAAAATTTCTACGATCCAGAATCAATTTTTTCAAAAAATTCTTTCACGAGTCCCTCAAAAATGATTTATTGATAATCTTAATTTTTTTCTTCTCTTCGCCATTTATATACTTCTATTTTCTTTGATGGCAGAATTGGTATGAATCGTGGAAGCCATCTAAGGTTTGAAAGTCGTAATTTTCTCTGATAAACAAGATTTGTTCTATCAACCAGCAGATGCTGTTGTTAAATGCATTTATAATTTATTTTTATAAACAAATGAGGATTCAGAGATTTTCGAAGACTATCGTAGAACGAAAAAGGGATTATTGAATCAGTCATGTTAATTTGAATAATTTATTTACTAGTAGAAAGTCAATAATAAGATCAAGCAACCATTATTTTTTTCAATATTTTTTTACTAATTGAATAATTTTTCTAAATATTTCTAAATGATTTTTTTATAACATTATTTTTTTAATTGATATTTTGTAGATATTTGAACTTGAATAAAATATTATTTTAATAAAATTTAATGGAAAATCAGCATCAGCATAATTGATGCTAATTTCTTTATATCCCTTATCATCCATGAATTTTATTATTATTTTTTTTGATTTTATTCGATTTGCTATTTATAAGTTAAATCTCTTTTCGACTAAAGAAACTAATGGTTCAAGATATCTTCGTGGTGAGGAAAGGATTATTTCATTTATTGAAATAGAAATTGAACGTAAATTATCCTTTCCAGGTGAACTGATCATGAATTTGAATGCTAGCAAACCGTTCAAAATCTACTTAATAGCATATTCAACGTTATCATCTCCTTCAGATCACTCACACATTTCCTCACAGTTATTACAGACTTCGTTCGAATTGCCATCGTCCTTATCGCAAGTGTTTCCACCATCTTTTGTAATTATAAAAAATATACAAATAAGAGGAAATGTCTGCACAGTTCCTAGCTTAAATGAACTGGCATGCTCAGAATTAAAATGTTCGTTTGATAAAGATTTGTGCAGTTATCAAATCAAAACTAAATCAATGAATAATTCAATATGTCGATTTAATGAGAATCAGAATGGTTAGAAATATTTTCTTATTGTTATTTCTTATTATTGTTAATGAATTTTAAAGAATTTAGCAGCTTTGCTGGTTTCAGACTTCATTAAAATTTAAATTAATTTAAGCTTTATTGATTTGCTTAAGTTATATTAACAAGTTCAGTACTCTGTGCATTATTCATAAAATTATTCATAAAATATTAGAAAAATCGGATCAAATAAAATTTTGTAGGAATTAAATGTTTTGTTGGTGGAAATGTTCAAAAGATAATTATGCAGTCACCAAAGTTTAGAATCACTCAACCAATTATTGTTGCAATCCAGGTTTTTTAAAATTGATGCGATTTTAATAATTTCTTTAGTATAACTTTAGTGATCAATTTCTTATAAATAAACAATTCTTATCGTTTTAAAAAACTTATCAGTGTAATCTGAATGATTACGTTTTAATTTTTTGGTAATATTGAAATAATAATATTTATAATAAATAAATATTTACTCATTCACTAAAATTTCGCATAAATTTAAATAAATTTAGATGCAGACTTGAATCTTTTTGCAAAATTATTTTCCTGCATTTTTCTGTTAACTTTCTGTTTCATCTAATTTTTTCATTGGTTCATTTTTAGTTTCAAAAATCTCAATCCAAAAGAAAAATTTTTGCAGGTCCATCAAAAGACATTTGGCTCAGAAGTGTATATCTGCGATAGTGACAGTGATAGCGCAACTAATATTACTGATGACACCAAGCCGCATGATGATAGCTGTCATTTGTTATTGGGTCCAATAATAAAAAAAAACAAAATTAAGAAGTCAATTTATAATTTAGATTATTTCAAAAATCAGTTTTCTTTGGTTTTTTTTAATGATAAATTTGAACAATTTGGTGACGCAGAATTTGAAATTTTTTCAATTGATATTTTTGATGAATTTAACCAAAAATTGTGTTGAATTTTTTTGAAACATTCTATTTTATCTTAAAGATGTAAATATTATAAAATATTTATCCTTTTATATTCCTGAATATTTATTGCAAATCTTTCTCGCCGAATTGTTCGTTCTTCATTGTATTTATCTATAGAATTTCGTTGGTAATTAGTAGGAATGGTTTTTTAGATTTTTTATATCCACGAATTACCAAAGGCTGGGAGAAAATCCTGTAAATTTTTGGCGCTAGACTTTCACTAATTTTTTTCTGATCACTACAGAAAATATTTTGCTTCAGTTTACAAAAAAAGTATAGCGATTTTTTTTTTAAATTACCTCATAAATCGAGTTTCTTATAAAATCATCTCCGTGACGATTCAATTTTATTTCTTTCTCTTAAACTTTGATTTAAAAAGTATCCAGACACTTCTTTTTTGCAAAAAAGATTTGTATCAATCAATGTACACATCTTTTAAATTTTTTTTTAAAGTAAACTCCATGACTGCATAACAGCTCTCCAAAATTATTTCATTTTTTAGTAGCAATCAAAAAATTAATTCGTTGCATGAATTTAACAATCTGTAACGACAACGCTTTTGTTCACGAAAATTGCAAACATTTTGGTTAATTCGCTTATTTTTTGAATTCGTTTATTTCCTTGAAATTCAAAAATTATAGGAGGAAATAAAACGTGAAAATTATTGAAATTGTGGTTTCAATATTTCGAATTGAAAGGGAGAATAAGTGGCTACCATTTATTGACCATAAGGGCTCAGCTGACTGTTAGGAATTTTTGCCAGGGAGTCGTTTGAAAATGGAAGTATAAGTGGTACTAGTTGGATTTTTTGGTTTGAGTCCATTCCTATTGGAAATTAGAATCGGATTTTTCCTTTTAATACGATAATTTGGCAATCCATCCACTCGAATCTTTTACTGAAACCAGAAAAAAAAAATTTGTCGAATGATTGCCTAAATTCCGATTAATATTTTTACTTAATGCAAAGTATTAACAAGTGGAAAAAATGCGATAATTCTTGAATGACCTTTTATATAATGGAAATTGTCTCTGATTTTGATAGTATGAAGTAATCTTTAATAGGATTAACTCGTTCAGCTCGAAAATCGATTTAATATGAACAATTATATCCACTTTTTTGTTAGAATTTATGTCGTCTTTTAGAGCCATCTTTTTACCTCCTCGAATTGCGAGAAATGTAGAAAAATTTAGGATTAAAATAAATGAAAATGATAAGTTAAACGAACGAATGCATTCAGCAATCCCAAAAAGACACTTTTTCATTTTTTATGAAAATTTTATGAATTTTTATTAGATCGAAAAATAAATTAGTAAATTAGCGAATTAGTTTCTTTCTTCTAAAAGTATTTCTGATTTACTTTGGCTGATATAAATTAAACGTTCATTCATTTACAGCTTTGCCGAAATATTAATGAAATATTTATTATATGTGCAATGATAGTTCCATTTTTAATTACATATGTATTAATAATATTCTATTTTACATTAATTTAATAATTTATGCGATTCTTCCTAGATAATATTGTACTTTTCCATTTACAATTTATTTCCATATAATATTCAGTAGTAAAGTAATTGGCCAGCGTTCAAGTTAAGTCTACCCCAGTGGCTATTAGCATTTACTAACGAATTTCTACTAACGAATCACTTAAGGATTGATGCATTATATGCCGAAATGAAACAATTTATAATGAATTAAAATTAAATTAAAATAACAAAATATGCATTATTAATATTATTTTAATATAAATTAAGAATATAAGTACAAATATATGAAAATAGATGAATATAATACGTCTCTTAACTTTTCATCACAAAAATTCGTGAAAATAGATTAAAGTTGATATGATATAAAAGTTGATGATATATAGTTGATGATATAAATATATTAAAATATATCTTCTGCCACTGCTATCATTAAGAATTTCTATCGCAAAGATTTCATCAATTAATTAATTGCTATCGAAATAAGAGTTATAATTTATAGTAATTAACATTTAATAAAGATCTTTTTGTTAATATATTAATATATCTCTTATTTCTTTGCCAATTTATTCGATTATCAATTTATTATGATTATGATAAAAATGATTTATATAAATCAATAATGAATGATATTTCTGCGATTGTTTATGGAAAGAGAGAAGAAATAAACAAATTAAGCCTGTTTAGAGGCTTTCAAGAACAAAATGGTCATACTTATTCTTTTTTCTTTAAAAAGTAATGGGCATTTTTTGCTTATGGATCTGGCTATTATTTTTCATAAAATCGTACCTTAAAACCTTATTTAATTAATGTAATTTTTTGCCATTCTACAAGTACTATATAACCATTAAAATTTAAATTTTGAAAAAAGAAGGCAAGATCGCTGGTTAAATTTTATTTATTCATTTGGTTCTATGTTCATTCAAAAAATACATTATTATCAAATATATTAAAACAATACAAAATTTTTCCGAAGATTTTTTTTTATATTTTTATATTTCTGAAATGAAGAAATATTCTGATATGCTGCTCGTCATGCGATGCGATAACTATCAAAGCGTAGTTCCGTTTTTTTTTTAATCATCATCATTTTTTAATCTTTAATAATTTTTCGACATTTAATGAACCATTTTATGGTGAAGAAAAAAATTTGTTTTTGGCGCCACATTTTTCTGCCTTATTCGATTTATTATATTACATGGAATTTTATCAAAAAAACCATCATATATCATATCAAGCAAGCAAGTCCTTAATGTCAAGAATCGCACAGAAAAGACAAATTATCATTTAAACTGATAAAGAAAAGAAAATTAAACAAAATTATGAGCAAAATTTTCTTAAATTCACTGGATCTTATAATTCTAAATGATAAAATGATTATTTCTAGTGAAAAAAATAAGTTTATATGAAAGTTTATATGAAAATAATAAAGTACCACATTTATTTATATTTGATAATATCACTAATACCAAATGAACCAAATGAATTCAAGGCTTAAAAGTAAATAAAAATAAAAATGTTTGAAATAAACTTTTGTTCATATCACAAATCACAAATATCACAAATATGAATATGAATTTTTCTATGCATAGAACTGATTAAGGTTAAAGCTGCTTTTTTTGAAAATTTTTAAAAACCTTAGTCAATCTTATTTAGTGTCCCCTTATTTAGATCAAAAAGTTATTGTTCGTTCTTATAAATTTTCATGAATTTTCCTAATGTGTTTCTTTAAATCGAAATTTCTACAAAAACCTTTATTACAGTAATTACATAAATATGGTTTAATATCTTGATGTATATTCATATGAAATGTTAAATTGTATATTTGATGAAATGCTTTTTCGCATATATTACATTTGTATCGTTTATCATTGCTATGTGTTAATTTATGATTTTTATAATTTCCATTTTGATGAAATCCTTTGCCGCAATATTCACATATATATCTTTTATAACCTTAATTATTGTCCTTAATAATAGATCAGAATTAATCTCACAATATGTTTAGCAAAATAGAGGCACTAGTCAAATGCTTCAAATATTAAAAATCATATTTCGAGTGCTTCATATTTTTCACTTAATTATCGTTCTCAAATTTACTAGATTTTGCGTTTGTAAATGATACTGATAATAATTGTTTGAATGAATATTCATATTAAAATTCCAAGATTAAATTAAAAACACAAAATTTATGGCATTTTTTGTAAAATTACAATACGAACTAACCTAAATGTATACGAATATGAGTATTCAAAGTTGAAGAACGGTTGAAACATTTACCACATGTTGAACACTGAAAATTTTTGCTAGTTGATCCATTAATTTTACGATTATTGTTGAATAATGAGTAGTTTCTTACTTAACTCTTTCTTTTTTTGACTATTTGTTGGCTAACACTTAGTAAACCTGCAGTATCTATTTGTTATAATTCAACTGTTCATTTTATCTTATTGCAGGATAATATTTTTTTGGTATTGCATCATTATTTGATTTTAGATTATTTCACTTTTTTTTTTACTGTAACATAATTGTTATCAAAATTTCAAGAACGAACAACATGTGGTTTTTGCTCAGTATGGATTATTTTATGCCGACATAACGTTGAAGCTTGTCGAAATGCTTTACCACATATCTGGAAAATTTTCGCCATGATGGTATTGTCAAAAATTGTTTATTGGCATAAGAATTTCAGTGATTAAGTAAAGCCAGCAACAAAAATAGAAATAGCCTCATTTAGAAATTTAAAAACACATAAATTGAAAAAAGAGACATTAAGGAGCTATTTTGATTTGTTTGGCAAATATCAACATTATATGAAACTCCGGTGATTTAATTTGGATTATCAAGAGCCAATGAAGAATTTGCAAAAATCACATTAATTATGAAAATACCAACACTTGACAGTTTGATTCATGCTAATATTAAAAAATACGATAGAAATAATTAATCTTGTTTAATATAATAATTCTTTAATTTCTTGTTTAATCTTGTTTAATATAATAATTCTTTATAATATAATAATAATTCTTACATAAAAGTAAGAAATCCTATATGAAGTTTTTTTTGCAATAGTGTACCTTGCATACCTTGCACAAAAATGGTCGTATTCCCGTATGTATAGGCATATGCCTGGTTAAATTATAATGCGCATTGAATATTTTACCACATTCTTTGCACTGGAAATTTTTATGCTTGCCATTTGGATAACAGCGACTTTCAAATTTATATTCAGATTTGTTTTCTTTTAGCAAAGAATCTGAAAATGTCCATTTTTTGATGCAAAATTTTTTATAGAATAATTTTTCTTATTTTTGATACAAATTACATCAAATAATTTTCTATGAATTTGATTATTCGTAGAATTATTCTTATATTATGATGTTATATATATTTGGGAAAATTACTCGCTTTATTCAGGGTTGAATTAGTTTTTTAGAACTAAATCAAAACTCTTAAAATTAGAGTCCAAAATAAAAATGTATGCATGCCAAACTATCATGAGTATTTCGGCTAGTATTCTGATCAGATCTATTTATTATTCAAAAATGACTATTATATGATAATGAGGTTTAGAATTATTATATTCCACAAAAAGTAAATTTCTGATTAAATTGAAATTAAATAGCCTACAAAAAGATGTCACAAACGATTCAACCTATGAAGCGAATATCTATATAAAATATAAAATACATATATGTATAAATGTATAAATAAGTTTCTTCTTCAGTAAAGTGAGGACTTTTAGTTAAACAAATAAGAAAAGTATAAAAGTGGAAAAAATAGAATAAAACATTAAAAATTAGGATTTCTACTTAAGGAATATCAAAAATTTTTTAAAAAAATTAAATATACCTTTACTAAGAATATTGTCGATTGAAAAAGGTAACGACGAAGCCATTATAAATCTTTAAATTTATTGATTATTATTGAATTTATATAGGCTTGTCTCCGCCCATAGTTTTCGTTTAGGGCGGAATAAGTAAAAAATTTAACCAATTATATTCCTCACCATCACCGTATCCTTTACTCATCTTAAATGAATTTTTAATTTTTTTTTCATTAATTTTGGCTAAGAATTTATTATAAAAAAGTAATTATTGCAGTTTTCAGAAAATTGAAAAGGTATTTGCTTTAAAGGAAAGAATATTTAATTCTTTGATTCTTTTTACTTCATAAATTTTTTAAAATTTATATTTTAACTTTTAATATAATTTTTATTAATTTGAGGAAGGGTATTTGTAGAATAGCAAAATGCGCAAGCAAACAAGTAAATAAGGTGGTTGACGCTCATCATTTTTCGTTAGATTCGTTCCATTGTCTGCTAGTAAGTATGATATACAAGACGCTTTTGTATTTATCCAATTCATGAATTCTCCACTGTTTATTCAAAATCGAATTTTTAATCGAAAATTTAACTTTAAAATTTACTTATCAACATATCATGAATTCTTTATAACAATATCACTAATGGTGACTAACAATACGGATATAATATAATTTTATAAATGAATCAAAAGATTAAAAAGCAGTGACGCCCAGTGAAACCCTTTCCATAATACATCGCTGCTCCATTTCCTTTCCTTTTATTAATGAAATGCTTAAAGAAAGAAACACTGCCCGTTCATTCAAGAAATTTCATGCATTATATTAGATATTACTAATATAAAGTTTTACAAAAAAAAAAAAATTTGCTTCAAAATAGGATTGAGATGAATAAACCACACATCGCAGTATATTATTATTCTATAATTTGCAACTTGCATTATTTTCCAAAAACGTTATGGTGAATGAGCCAAACTAAAAGTTGTGACAAATTTTCATTTCAAATTTTCAGATTTGATTTGAAAAAGAAGTTCCGATACTTCTTTTCAAATTCATCATCATTCACTGTAAAAGATGAAACAATTAAGGGTATAATTTAGTAAAAAAAAATATATTTTTCAAGTGCCAAAGAAGATCTTTACGACGGTTTGTCCCATAAAACAAATATTTGTATTTTTTCTTTTTAATTTTAATTCATTCTCTTACTGCATTAGTTATATGATAATTTTTTATGCGATGGATGAGTTCTAATGCCTAATACGTCTTTGTTAGCATCCATACAATAACTTTTCAGACTTGAAAGATGTTACTGAAAAAACTATTTTGTTCTCAGTTACTTCGCTCGCTTTAAAATAAGATTTATACAAGTTTCCAAAAAAAAGAAAAATTGAAAAATCAATCAAATTAATCCACAGTTAATCTTGTTTCAACTTATTATCGTCCGCAATCCAATTTATATTTATATAATATATCTAGCCAAATAGGACAAGTCTAACCCAACAGCAACAGAAAATTGATAATTTTAGTATGAATCCTAATAGAAATTTTTAATTTTTTTTCAAGTACCTAAAGCGCATATTTTTAAAATATTTTTATTGTACCGTTTTAATTTTATCAGAAAAGAATTCGTAAAAGCAGATTATGTGCTTTAATAGCTTCAATATATTAATAATGTGCATTAACAAACTAATCGAAGGCTTAAAATGTTTCTTCCGTTTTATGTTCATTAAACTATTATCCATAAAAGTCGCACATTGGCGTGTTATATTATTTATATTTCCAATGATCATTCGCTACATGATTTAATCCGAAAAATATTTTATAGGCTATCATAATTCATAAGAAAATTGCGATTCATTAAGTGCTAATTATAAAAATTGAAATGCTAAGATATTGAATTCATATGACTTCATGACTTATAAGTATTATATACACTTATTAATTTTATAAATATAGTGAAAACAATGGTTGCAGTTTCAAAACGAACCGAATAATAGTCAGCTAACAATAATCAAGGACTGATATTCTAATCATATAAGTTTGTCCCATCTGCAATAAATTATTAATAATATTTACCTGTTAGTCAATAATTGGTTTAGATAGGTCAATGTAAATAATGCAAAATATTGATTTAATAATTGACTTTGACGAAACTGAAGTTGCTTTTCCTATTAAGATTTATTAGGATTTCACGGGAATTTTTTTCCTAGCCTGTATTAATGCCTGGGAGACCATATTGATTAAACAATAAGAAGACAAAAAATATTTTCTAATTTTCATCTTTTGGTAAGCGCACATTGTTCCGATTTGGCTGATCTCATAGTAAAAAATCATGCGTGAGGCTTCCAACTGAACTTAATAGCGGGATTGCTCTTGCCAAGGTCTCGATCGAAGAAAAAAAAAAAGAAAAAGAACGCTTCACCAATCTATTTCTGACGACTTTAAAAAAAATCACAACTATTCGAGACGATTATTTTAACGATCCTTAGTAGATAGTGGCAGTAGAAGATACACCGAGAATATAAATAAATTTGCTGTGACCGATTACGAAAATTCAAGTATCCTCTATCCTCCGAATATCCGATTATCATATTCATAATAATTCTTTCACAAAAGTGCACTTCAGCGTAGCGTTTCAGCAAACCTTAAAAAAATAAATTAAATTAAATAAATTATTAAGAAGTAAATTATTCTTGCATAAACATAGGTGATATATCATATTTTATTTCTTAACAAATCAAATATTAACAAATTAAAAGTATAAGTACAAATGTGCTACTAAAACACTATGTAAATCAGCTAAAAATATCAACTTAAAAATCTAAAGAGATTGAAATTCATTGTGCGATGGCATATCTTAAGTTATTCTTTGCTCAAATTCCAGCTTCATCACTATGTCATTTCCAAATAATTGTGCCATTTTGGCATTAAGAAATTACAAATATATATATATATATAGGTATACATTATGCACATGCGTATTGATATACTAGGTATTGATATTGATATATTGATATATTTATTTTAGATTGAAAAGAGCAATCACATCATTCAAAAGTTTTAATAAAAATTAAGCTACTACTTGCAGGGAATTGAATTGCATATATACATATATATATATATATATTGTCGTAGCCAGTTACAAATTACTACAACATTTTAGAAGTAATGGTATGGCATTATGAGCTAGCTTTAAGGAAAATTTTCAAATTTTTTCTTCAAACATTTAATTAATTTATTTAATTAATTTATTAATTAATTAATAAATTAATAACATTTAATTTATTAATTATAAATTAATTAATAACATTTAATTAATTTAGAAATTTTTATAATTTCTGTGACATGACATTATCTTATCCCTAAAATTGGATTTGGTCATTCTGCAATAGTTCACATCCATTTATTTACAGCGACTTTCCTGTACCCAATTCAGTTATAAATTACTTAATATGCTGTATAACATTTATTACTATATAACAATTTGCAATAAAATATGAGAAAAATTAATCTTGAAAAAATTTGGAATATTTAGAATTATTTTTCAAATTTAATTTCATAAAATTTAGAATTTAAAATTTACAAATAAAATTTAGCGGTACATTGATGCTTATTACTGGCGAAACGATTAAGTATATCGCTTCAATGGAAATCAAGATTCTTGATTTCGGTTCTCGTTCTTTGTGGTGACCTGAAGAAAGAGGAATGCTGACGCACTTACTTTTTAGTATTAAAAAAAGATCTCAGCTTAAAGAAGTCAGATAATCAAATCAGAAATTGAAATTCACTTAGAAAGAAGCAGAAGGCATTAAATTTTTCAGAGTGTAAAACGTTTAATGTATAATGGTTTTCATTTAATCGAAATTATTCCGTGAAGACGATATATCAAAAGAAATCTAAGTTATTGCCAGGTGAATTTTTGGACCATCATTTTTTGTGTTTTGTATTTTATTAGGATACAAGAAATTGTGTGTACATCGACCGTCTAAACCCCATCGCAGCGGGATATTAGAGCAGTTCCGCGATTCTAAAATAATTATTTGAAATTTATACAATTTATAGAAATTTTATTATTTTATTTTCGAAAATGAATATGAAAATATAAATTTAAAACTGAATATAAATTTATAAAAATTAATTTAAAACTGAATATAACTTTAACATATTTATATTATATTAATATATTTATATTATATTTATATATATAAATTAAATATATATATATTTAATTTAAATATAAATTTGAATATAAATTTGAAACTGAATATTATAGTTTTCAAATAATTTTATTTATTTCATTTTGGTTAACAATTTCTGCATTGCAAATAAACGGAAGGGTCATGAATGTTTTGATCATTTGTCCTCAATTAGTTCAGGCTTATATATATATATATATATATATACTGAAGCAAAAAAACAGGGTCTGAGGCCGCAAAATATGACATCTTAAGTTAATCATTACTTTAAGATATGACTATTAAATAATAGAAGGTATTTGAAAATCTAATCAATCACTAGCAGAGTTGACATGAAGAAATATATTGTGCAAAATATTTCCAAATAATGAAAGTAATGTAGCTAATCAGTGACCATCATCGTAATTTGTGCAAAAATCAGTAAAACGCAAGTGATGGCTATCATAAGATTCGATATTCAAAATATCAAATAAATTTCATTCAAAATTCTCAAAAACTGAGAATTTACTATATTTAAGTAAATCTATATTTTAGTAAATCTTTGCGGTAATAAAATGTTAGCATTTTACAATCAAAGCTTATTTCAGTGGAATTAAGGATCTAAGCAAAGTTATCTGATCTGTTATCTGATTTCTCAATAAAAATTCACTGTCTCCACTTCTTTTTTAATGCATTCACCCGTCTTCTAAAAATTTATTTATTTTGAATTATCACCTAGCAATATTTCGGTTAGTAGGCCATAATTTCCTGAAAATGTATTGGATATCATTTATAGTTCAACAAAAATATATTTATTTTAAAAAATCGACTCTATTTCGTTAGAAAAATGGATTAATAGGATTTGTTTCGAAGCGAATTTTTGAAAATTTTTTTTTCAATTCGATTAGTCGATTTGATTTCCTTGTTCGCAGCGAAAATCGCACCTCTCTCATTGCATTTTTTTTTCTTTCAATAGCTCAGTGAATCGAATGGATTGTTCAGTTTTTTTATTCTTCAACGGTTTTTCTTTTTCGAGTTATTTGTGAGTGATTTTTTTATTTTTCGGTTAGTAATCAAAGCTTAATGATCTAATGATCTATTTTCTGATAGCTTTGATATTTATTTTCAAATTTAATCGAAGATTCTTAGTCAGTTTCAATATAAGTTTATTTCTGTTAACAACCTTTGCATATAAAATGATTAGCACTAATTATTTCTGGTTAAGCTGACTCTAATGGCTTGTTAGACAAAAGAATTTCTGCCAAAGAATCATTCTTGGTTATAAAAGATCGCTGTCAACTCTACCTATTTCTACCTATATTATTTTTTCCAATTTTTTAAGTTCTCCTGTTGAAAAATTCTCCTGTCGGAGAAATTCGAATTTCTGATGGTCGAAACGATAATCTCAGTAGAAACTATTCCGCTATCCTAGTTATCTTTGAATTCTAATTCCACTGCTAGTTATCTTTAAATTCTAACTTCACTGCATTGAATATTGAATATTGTGATTTTCCTCCTCTTTTTCTCTTTTTCCTAAAAATTGAAATAAATAAATATAAATATAAATATATATATATATATATATAAAATATAAAATAATATAAAATATATATAAAATTATACATAAAATATATATAAAATTTATAATAATATTATAAAATAATATAAAATAATTATGACTTTCTTTGAAAGGAGTAAACCTGTCATATCAAAAATCCGTGTGGTTGCTGGGGACCCACCTGTAGCTTTATCTCCAAGTGGCTCTATGGTGAAAGGGTCAGATATACTTCATACGATATCTGCGTCTCATGACGTGCATGATACTCCTAGACCGGTGGTACATTCGATAAGTATACAATCCGGACTTAAAGCTGGTAAATAAAATGTGCTCGCAAGCCAGGGTAATTGCTCGAAATCTATCAAGGTAAACAGCCTTCTGCACGCGCAGCGAGTCGTATTAGCGTGGAACGTCAGAACGCTTATGGACGTTACAAGTCAAGCAATCATTGTCCACACCCTTTCTAAATATCGTGTGGATATCGCTTGTTTGTCGGAGGTTCATCTTCTTCGGATCTCGAGTATTTACTAATCCGGTTCAGAGAAGAGATACTGGCTATATCACTGTGGTGCTTGGAATAACTCTGGACAAAATGGCATAGCGATTGTCATGGCCCATTCCGCTTTGATTGAGTGGAAACCGGTAAGCGACCGTATTGCTTATGCTCGTTTTAAGAGTAAGTTATGCAATATTTCGGTCATCAATATCTATGTTCCAACTCTGTCGGTAGATGACCGGGATAAAGATAAGTTCTATGCGGAACTTCAACTGCTAATAAAATTTCTACCGGAACATGACACATGGTCATAATCGGGAGAAACTGGAATCCGCACGTAGATTTTAATGCCGCTGTGATAACCTCAACAATTGGCAAATATGGCATCAGAGACCGGTATGCCAGTGGAGAATGTTTTCTCCATTATGTCGAACGGCATGAACTTTTTATTACTTACTTCCTTCTTACTTCCGGCGTCATAGAAAACATCTAGTCACGTGGAACTCCTCGAACAAGCAACACTTCAACCAGATTGATTATATTTAAATCAGTCACAGTTGATGTTATGGTTGGAGCCAAGATCCGCATAAAATTGGCAACTCGCAGACAGTAGCCTCAAGATCCTTCAACTATTTCAAACTAAAAAATTCTAAAAAATTCGAGGGCAGTGAGCGCATTTCAAGCCGAATTATTGAATCGAATTATTAATCATCTCAATAATACAAATATCAATGATTTTTCTGGAACGGCAAATGAATACTGGTCCAAACTAAAGGAATGTCTCCGAAATTCAACCATTTGCATATTAGGATATGCTAGTAGGAAGTGCACTTGTTGGGTATCGGAAGTAACTGTCCACCTACCTGAAAAAACTGCCAAAGTATGAATGTCAGGAGATCCTGATTACTGGATGCTTCGAAGATTTACAACGAAAGAAACAAAGCGGGAAATCACTATTGGAATGACATGGCCTTCAGAATGGAGACGGCGGCTCGATTAGGCGATAATAGGAAATTATTCCGCCTTCTTCATAAAGGAACTATGACTCGGAACGATCAACGAAATGGTAAGGGATAGCAATGGCGTTCCGATCAAAAGTATTAAGGACCACCTCATAAGATGGAAAGAATTCTTTGAGGCCAAATTAACCAATGGAAAAAAATTCTTTGAAGCCAAGCTTAATCATGAAGCGCCATCTGTTGCCTCTGATATAGCTGATACGTTTATCGAAGCATACGCTTGTAATTGCGAGTGTGCAATAGAAGAAAAAATAATTTCCGTTATCCATAAGCTCAAGGCCAATAAAACCTCAGGAGAAGATGGTCTTTGGGCTGAGCTTTTCAAATGTTGTCTATTGTCCTTTGTAAACATACCTTCAACAAATGTATTCTCTAGTATGGAAAAAAGAAATATTACCAGATGACTGGAGCAATACAATTCTGTCTCCAATTTCCAAAAACATATTGCGACAATTATCGAGGAATCAGCCTACTAGACGTCTCAGCTAAAATTTTTGCTTCTCCTGCTACTCAACAAACTTATGGAAGTATGGGACAGCAGGATGCGCCCTAATCAAGCTGGTTTAAGACCAGGACGCAGTTGTGCTGACCAGATATTCACGTTAAAAGGATGTTGGAACATTGCTTAGATATATTTACAACTCACTGTCTCATGTTTCCTTTGCCTTTGATCCTATCGATAGACCTGCGCTTTGGAGAGTGATGAAATGCGACGGTTTTCCAGAGGAGATCATTCGACTCATAAAGGCATTTTATATGGGAAGTTGACAGACTCTTTCGAAATAAGAACTGGTGTGTCCTTTCCCCTACAGTATTCAACTATGCGATAGACTGGATAATGGACACTGCTTGTCGGCACTCAAAAGATGTCCAAATGAGTTAGTACAGAGCATCGTATCACAGATCTTGAAAACGCTAATGATGTAGTCCTTTTTGCTAATAGTTATGATGAAATGTAAATAGTGCTAAATAACGTATCAGCAATTGCAGCGAGAATCAGACTCAGGATCAATGTAAATAAAACGAAAGCCTTTTCGTCCTATATGCAAGAAGCTGATAAAATGTCTCGTTTTGTAAATTCATTGCTGGTTGAGGAAGTGCCCTATTTTAAATACCCTTGGGTCTACTCTAATACCAAATGACCAGGCAAAAGATGAAATTACAACTCGGATCACGACAGCTAAAAATACGTTCTTCCGGTTGACAAAATCTCTATGGAGTTATCGTGAAATCACCATAAAAAGAAAAATCGGCATCTATATGCCGTGATCCGTTTGATCTTGCTATATGGTTCTGAGACATGATAGTAAGTTATCTGCCTTTGACCACTTTTATCTAAGGTACATATTACGAATCCATCGAGCGGATAAAATATCACAAGATCCCATCCATCTTCGTTCAATACCACTTGCATAAATAATGTTATCACAGAGCGCCGCCTTTGCTGGTTAGGGCACATTCTCCGTCGTCCACCACAGGAGTTGACGCGTATTTCGTTATTTGCTAAACCATTGATGGTTGGTGTCAAAAGAGTGAGGTGGATCAATCAAGACCTGGACTGATACGATTGGAAAAGATTTTGAACGTATAGTGGACCAGCAATATATGGACTTAGAGTTGGAAAAAAGAATGGCTTTTATTAATGTCGACGATAGCATCAAACCGCGCCGCTTGGAAGTATCTAACCTTTGTAACCGTTGGAGCCATCCTAACCAGTAATGGTTAGAACTGTTAGAAGATTTTCTTCAGTACTGATGAGATACGATTTAGTTGTTTTTATCGCCAAATTAAGCAAATAAATATTATGTTATTTCGATTATTGATTTGCATTTTAATGAAAAAATTGTTTCTGAACCACAGGATGACTTTAAAGTTTCAATTTTCTTTGTCTAAAATAGCATGCTCACTTAAAATATTCACCTTTCCTGATTTGGCAAGCTCTACTAGCTCTCAGGATGAAAATTCTTCGCTTATCGAATAGATATACAACTGTGGCACCATCCACATTTCATTTTTAATGGCAGGCTTAATTCCGTCAATGGACAAGAGTTGAATCCAGTCTACAGTTTGTCTTCAATCGAAACAACAAATCACTCAGCCTACCCTATAATATGAATTGCCTTAGATAGTATTAAATTAGTTCGATTATTACTTGAATAACCAATTTTTTTGCAAATTAATTATTATTAATACCGATCGAATATTTATAATGAATAATGCATTGGAGCACCAACTACTCATCAACATTTATTGTCAACATTTTCAGTTGCCATTCAACAACAGCGCATTCATTCTCAACCACCAGCTATTTCCATTTTTTTGAATTATTGTCGCCTCATCTGTCAGTAGTTATTTCTCTTCTTCATTATTTTGTTATCAAATATTATTTATTTTATCATCATTATATTGCTAATTTGTTAATTTTTTTGCAAAAACTAATTATTGCTAATTTTTTGTTCTAAAAACATTTCTGGTCAGGCTCGCTTACCTGCCGTAGCGGATAAATTTCGCAAAAGAGTCAACTGGAGATAGAAATAGAGATAAGTCGCCAGAATCACTCGAATTTTTGAAAAGCAAGTTTACTCTTGCAAAAAGTTTTAACATCGGAACTCCAAACTAAAAGTTATAACCCACTGAGCAAGCCATTCTACCTATTATTGTTAATATTATTAATCTTTCTTTTGCAACGTATAAGTTTCAATACTGCAAAAATATTAGCGATATTATAAGATTGAAAAATTATAAAACTGAAAAATTTACGCTTGATTAAGGGGCTATAATGCAACAATCACTAGGCTATCCTTCTTTCGAATTATATAATTTTTATTTATCGGATTATATAATTTTTATTATTTGTTACATATTGCAAATTAACAAAAGAAGATTTGGTTTGGTTTAAATTTATCGTCTTGATTTCAAGTCAACTTAGTTTTTGTTTGAGCTTATCTTAAGATGTTCAATTGATACTTTTCTCAAATGAAGAAGATTTGTTAATAAAATTTAGCGAAATAATTAAATTGATCGTGAAGTATTCTAATAAATATTTTTAAAATGAATATTTAAAAAGAAATTAAGAACAGATTGATTTATGCAAAGTAATTTCCATAAAATAAATATTTGAAAATTTTCTGAAACATATTGATTATTGAGAATATTTATCATATTTACCTACCAAACATATATTTCATTCTTATGAGTCGGAATTTTGATAACAATTGCTTTCATAAAAATGGAACATTCAACCAGTCATCGTAATAAATGGAAATTCTAACCAAGAAAAATTCTTCAAAAGGTGATTCATTAGTTTAACTACATTTATTAACATATTTTCTCAAATCTAAGCTAGTCTCAATGCCTTCCACGTGAACTATAAGCTGCCTTAATGCTATAGGTTCGGCAGAGATTCAAATGACTTCACATAATCTATTTAAAAACATCTGTCTAGAAGAGAAACCAATAGCTTCCTCAAATTGCGAAAACCTAAGCATTTTGTTGAAATCTTTTGATGGCAAGAAAAAGATCACATTTTATGAAAAAATCAAATATAACATCTAGATTTTATGTATTAAAAATATTCCATCACAATATAAAGAGAAATGGATGTTAAAGCGAATTAACGAAGATATGGTTTGTGTGAAAAATGGGAGAATTTGAAAGTAGTAATGGGCAAGGGAAGATAGCCAATTTTGAAAGGGTACCGAAAGATATTTATTTATACCTGAAAAAAACGGTTCTATCCTGCTGTGGTAGAGTCCTTTTTGCTCGTAAAAATAAATTCCTTAAAAAAGCTTTTTTGAATTGTAGTTGAAAAAAAAACGTTTCGGAGTATTGAGGAGTAAAGTGAAAGCTTTCACAACAGTATATACTCTTTGCTCAAAGCTATTTACTTAACACCTCAAATCTTTTAATAAACTTTCTAGCAGTTATTTTCCACAAATATTTCTTCCATTCGACTATTTTTTCTTAAATTCGCAATTTTCGGTTTTCTTAAAACATCCAAATAAATAAATAAGTGGTAAGCGCTTATTTCCGGTCAGGTCAGGTCCGCGCTAAGTATTAGAACTTGGCAACAAAAGGTGCATAGAACAGGTTTGTCGACATTAGCGCCCTAATTTTTAGTTCACAGGTTTATCGATGATAGGGCCCCTTAGCATATTAATCTGAGGTACTAAGCACTCGGCCATTCTGCATCTTTTGAAAGAATATCATTTAATTTCAAAAATTTTTGGCTTTCAATTGTGAAGAAAATGTAATATGTGAAAATGTGATTTTTATATGATCATTTGGTTTCTTTGTAATTTTCATTTACTAAAAATGATTCAGTTGGTTATACAAATTGATCGATCAAATGGATGGATGGCAATAAAAAATACTTTTCCAAAAGATTATCGATAACCATATAAATTTAATAGTTGTCATTTGCTATAATTCCATTATTTAATATAAATAATTATCGAATAAAAGCTTTTCCATTAAATTCATAGAGTTAGCGATTAGCGCTCACCATTTCTGATTAATTTACTTACTTCACCGTTAGTACAATTGAAATTTTGTCTATGAGAGCCCGAATCCTGGAGCTCCGATCACTCGGCTATCTTGTTTCCAACAAATAAATAACTTTTTTATTTTTCTCGAATTTTTTAATAATAGGGAATCATCCGGAGAACTGTCTTAACGGCGTCGTTTTTACAAAAAATTGCAAATTATTTAGCAATTTTGAGAAGCTATTGCCATAGTATTTAAAAGCGGCATTTATAAATTATCTCGGTTTAATAATGGTTTTGCTGTCAACTGTTGGAAAAAATGACGCTCATGATTGATGTTATATATCAATGTTATTGACCTTTGTCCACCTTTATTTGACCTTTGACTATGACTTCTTTTGTATCATTGTTCTCCTCCCTCATATTTGTTTATTTATTTCATATTTATTTTATCCATAATTTTATTCAAATTTTATTTATTTATAATTTTGCCATTTTCGATATCAAAAAGGATTTAAATTGAGATATTATTTAATTTTTAAAACTAATAAAAAAATTGAATAAGGAAAAAAGTAATATTTAGGGCGTTTGTGCATTATTTCCATTTTTTTGACGATTTTATGTTTGGCAGTAACTGCTGTTATTACAAAAAGCAGCGTTTAGGTAAAATAAGAAACACCCCGTAACATTTGGCGCAAGAAAAAGAAAGACCTTCTTTAAAACAGAATACATCGCAAAGAAAATGAGTAAAGCGAAATAGAAATATTTGACTGGGGCCTGACGAGACAAAGTATATAGGGAAATGGCCAGGAGTGGTGAAGTAATGTTAGAGATGCGATGCTACGACAGCGTATGGTGAAGAATGGAAGGGAAATACAAAAGAAGTATTCTAAGGATTACAGCGGGGTCTGAGGAAATGTTAAAAGAATGCAAATCGAAATAGCAAAATTTTCGGGATAGCCAAAGCAACGGAAGGGCATAACAGATGTGCGAATTCGTTAGCGAAGCGTTACAATGACAAATAAGAAGGATTCATAAAGGACTAATGAAAAGAAAAGCGTAACATAACGAGACCGAGAGAGTGAAGAACTATGATCAGAACCGAGAAGTGGACACCCACACAAAATGTTAACGTAACAAATTATGGTATGGTGCACAGCCATTAGAATGTGCATTTGTTTTAGTAGCCACTCATAAATTATACGGCCATTTAAGATCTAAACTGACGTGTATAAATGGTTTGCGTACGTGGAAATAATAATTACTGCAGTAAGAAAATACCGAATTAGTGACAAAGTCTCCGCTAATAATGTAATGTTACATTCATAATTGAAGGATATATTTATTCAGAGATTAATGAAAATAAACTCCCTTCATCCAGACTTAATTGCTCTTAAAAATCGGCTCCTAAACCTTTATTAAGGGTCCCGATTTTAAAGGAGAACCGTCGACCTTTGAATTTAGAAAAGAACATCCGTGGGGAAAAAATATATTTAGACCAGAAAAAAAGAAAGATACTGGATTATGTATCATCCTGTTGGTGCACGTGAACGTGATGTATCAACGCGACTTATCAAACCAACGCTGCCAAATATGGATATAAATGAAATATTAAACTTAGTAAATAATTGGAATTCAGTCTGGGAAATTGATGCTGGTATTTTGGTGAGTTTTTTTGTCCTTTATGATATCAGAAACAAGATTCGGCATTAAATTCGTACTTTATACGCTTTAGCTATAAAATGACACTAAGGTACTGAGGCAAAATAGAAGTTTGAAGGACGTCTAAAGGAGAAACTGAGGAGAATTTAAGGGATAACAATAAGTTTTGAGATGATATTAAAAGAAGAGGTATAAGAAAAAATGCATGGACACCAGGGTTTTAGGAGGAAGAAAATCGCTTTTCTTTCACAGGACAGGACAGTTAGGCATATCATAATCATGCATATAGAAGGAAATGGGCGAACTGTTAGTAGGTATTGCTATTATTTGCGAAATAAACAGTCCGCCAACCTGAATTATTTTCCACGTTCATTTTGCTGGCAGTCTTACGAAGATACTCTCGAAATTTTTCTAATTTTTTTATCCATTTCTCGCCATAATTAATTAAATTTAAAAACTAAGCAGGAAAAGGCGACATGAGGATGAGTTCTTAAAAGTTAAAGAATAAAAGTTAAAGTGAAACAAGCTATATTAAGGAAATAATAAAGAAACGATGGAAATTACATAAGTCAATTGACTGAAAGGTTTAAAAAGACTTGGAACCATGTAGCCAGTCGAGTCAGCCTAACCAATAAGGATGTGAGTTACTCGATCACTTAAGGTAAAGACCTTATTACTAACATGTTATCCCCAACAATTTTCAGATTTTTGATGAAGGAATTGCTCAGTTTCTGCTTGTCGATGAACAGTCTCATGTAAAATTTTTCGCAGCATTAATATTAAAAAAGGCAAGTTTAAGGTGTCGATTAGTCAATGATGAACCAAAGGATATGTTAGAAGAAGCTGAGAACATTTTTAGAATTGTAAGTTCCTTTTACTAAATAAATAAATCTGGTAATACCACATTCTATTTATTGCTGCCTCATTCAAATTTGGAAATTTTAGTTTTGAGAAAAAACAAACTTCCTAATCGTAAATTGAATGAAAATGCTCCAAATTATGCCAAGCCAAACTATTAGTTTATAAAAATCTCAGGTAAACAATGAAGAATTAACACCAACCGATTCAAAAAAAATCGACTTCTTAAAGAACATTTTAACTAAACGAGGCTATCGTTTCGCTGAATAATTTATACAATGCATTTATTCCTTCTCAAATTTTGAGCGGATGCATATCCACGAAGGAAGGGAAAAAAAGCATCAATATAACAATTATATAATTCGCCGAACTATGCTCAAATGTGTTCGATACATTCTGAAAAATTAAAAAAAAAAATCTTTCGATCACTCTTTCATCTTTGTATTCAGCAAAACTTTTATGAATTTATCATATCAATTATTCGAAAAACTGTTAAGCAAAATCTAAGCCATGAATGTGATGTTAACAGGCAATAAATATAAAGAAACTAATAAAAGGTAACAGGAATATTTGTCAAATCTGAGGATTTAATATTTTATATAAATAATTTATTTAAATTACTTTTATAACCAGATACGACAGAAGCGAAAATTACTTCAGGTGCTTTACTCTAACAATTAATACTATGGGTGAATAGTTCCATTTGGATTGCAAATATATTTTTAATTTGAAACCCTTTTTTTGCTTCTTGTAGCATTTTCACATTTTTAATAGCCGATTTTTTATTCAGTAAATAAATCTGGATAAGATTAAATCTGAAAATTTCACATGCAGATACCATAATTTATGTGCTCAGACATTTTTTTAAAAAGAGTTTTCACCATTACTGGTTAAATTCACTCCGCTGACTTGTCGCACTGGACAAATAGCTAGGAATATTGTTTGGCGATACAGGTGAGTCGCCAACATCACCCGGATTCTTGGACAGACTCACTCCTGTGGGGAAGAGAGCCCCAGCAGCGGCGCTCCGAGCAACAACCCAATGAGTCATTCCATTCCCTGTTCAGCCATTAGAAAGATTCATCAAACATAAAAATAGAAACACAAAATTAAACATTTAAAACAATAAAAACAATAAAAAAAAGAAAGAAAATGCAAATGTAAAATACATTTAAATTAAGATAAGAAACCAAATACGAAGCTGTGATTTATATAGGAAAATATGAGATCAAAGAAATTCGAAAAATATAAAATGATATATATATTAAAAAATGATATTAAATGATATATATTAAAAAATTCTCAAAAATATAAATTAAAAACGTTTTTGATTTTGGCGTTTTAACGAAAGTTTTTAAAATTTAGATTCAGCTTATATAAGTTTTTCTTTAAAAAACTATGCGCCTAAAATAATGGTAAAAGTATTTATGTCCTTACCTGCACTTCTATCGCCAAGTAATTTTCTGACAAAGTAATCGCCAAGTAATTTTTCAAGCCGATAAACCAGAGCAACGAGCTTAACCAAAAACAGAAACGTTCTTAGAAAAAAAACATTAACATTAACATTAAAACATGAAATAAAATATATATACATATATCTTGATGATTTTATGAAATTTTTCCACAGTTTTTACAAAAAATAATTGCATTCTTCAGCCAATCAAGATTCTCTTTCTCTTAATCTGAAATTATCATACAATTATAATAAAATATCCTTTCCCTTTATCCCCCAAAAAATATGTGACTAATTTGAAATAAATGAATAAAATGATACATATTTATAAACATATATAGATTTCTCACTTTACCATAATTAAAAGTGATAATGCACAAAACTAAATTCTTAATTTTCTCATCAATTTTCTCTATATAAAACAGAAATCCACTAAAAATTACCGAAATAGTATTTTACAAACTTGCTTTTAAATTTTTTAAGAGGCATTAAAAGGAATTTTTACATTAAAATAAAAAATTTATTAATTCAGTTAACACTGAAAAAAACCTAAATTAGTCACATATTTTTATTAACAAGAACGAACTAACAAGAACGTCTGCGCCTTAGTCGCAGCTATAAGAAGTTGAGGTGATAAATCGGATAAACTTAAATCCAAATCACAATGCCGAAGACTTTTGTATTCAACCCATTCCCTTAAAAAAATGGAGATTGAAAAAAATTTGAAAAAAAATCTCATTTCACCAAAGAAACTGAAATTTGTCGTTCGAGTATAATATTGTTGGAAAAATATTGTTCTTACCATGTTTCAGGATCACTAAAAACTTGAACTAGCGTTGGCTCCAGGCAATCAAGAGGACGCCGTTTCAATACATCATCAATAGGAAGGCCATCAACAGCAATCTAAGACAAAGCAATAATGTAAAAAAACGATTTATTTATTTTGATTTTATTCGAAATTTATTCGAAATTCAAAATTTTATTGATTTGTATTTTTTGGAATAAAAAGGTTTAACAACAATAAAAATTTTTAATTTTTAAATTGATCAAAATGTAGGATTTTTTGAGATTCAGAAATTAAAAATAATCAGATTCAGCACAAATATTTATCAATAAAGAATTGAGAAAAAAATAATAAATCATAGTTTGCCTACCCTCATTCGTAAATCAATTACGCGACCAATCATACGCCCATCAATCGTTTTAACCCAAACAATATCGTTATGTTGGAAATCGGATGCAATCTCGACTGTTTCTAAAAAACAAATCAGTACCTACTACAAACAAGTTTCTCATAGACAAAATTTTTTGAACTGTAACTAAAAAACTCGAAATTTTTTGAGTTCCAGAGTTTCAAAGAATCTTTGTAATAGAAATTTATAGAAATTTCACCAGGAGCGACTTGGGCTTGAAATCGTCGGCGAGTTGATTTATATTTTCGCTTATCAAAGTCTTCATCGGCCGAACTCGATTCTTCGACTGCAGAAGATTGATCGGTTGTTAAATTTTCAGGATTATTTCTGGAGCTATTGCGATAAGTAAAAATGGATGCATTAAGACCATAAGCGCTGGAAGTTTCAAAATTCGAACTCTTTTTGATCCATGATCCCTTTTCAGATCCTTCGCAAAAACCACTGACTGATACTGGTGTTAGCTCTAAACAAATAATTTAATATCTTCCTTCTAACGAAAAAAATATGAATTCACTCAATACAAATAGGCTAATGCCTATATTCTGTGGAAATATTTGTAAGAAAGAGCGCTTTTTTAAAACTCCAAAGCAAGTTTCTTATTTCATGGACTCAGTTTCGAAAAAAGTGATCAAAAAAGAATAAACCTGAGAATTTTCTTCTCTTCTGCACGGGTGAATCTGATGATGATATAGTACGTTTCTTATTTCCCGAATTATTTTTGGAAATTTTAACTCCCTCGAACTTTTTAATCTGTTGGATATCCACTGAAGATTTAGAACAAGAACTTTGAGCATCAGTATTGTCATCAGCCTCTTCTGGTTTTGTTGGCAATATCGCAACTTTAGATATGGAGGCCAATAAGTCTCGAGACTATATAAAATTATGATTATAGAAAAAGAAGCTAAAGAAAATTAAACGATGAAAATTAAAAAAACTTCATTCTTTAACCTGAAGTACATTTGCTTTTATGGACTAAAAAAAGTCAACTTTCAATAATTTTTCTTATTTTAAACTAAAGTAAATGAAAAACTTGAAAAAAAATAAATGAAAAACTTGCTAATTATGGATGGAAAAAAGAGAGCAATCAGATATGCGCCTTATTGAAGAGACATTTGTTTCGGAAATTTTTATCTCCTTTCTACTAAATAAATACTCATGACAGCGAAAATACTCTCAATCCAATTGGGTTCAAAGTTGCCGACATCACTCCAAACATTAGCATGCTTTCTCGATTTTACACGCATTCATATCATACAGCTTACTGCTTTCTCATATACTTCGTCAACCATCACAGGAACTGACGCATATTTCGCCAAAGCCTTTTAATGGAAGGCAAGAAAGGTGATATAATCAGTGCAATCGAGATCATCAGTGCTTTCTATTACTTTCACAGGAACGTCACACATTTTATGAAATTAGTCAGGCAAGTAATAGGTAAAACGCAGAAATGTCAATTTAATTAAGGAAGCGATGAATGAATAAAAAATTTAAGAAGCTGTAAATAGGAAGAATTATAAGAAATATGATGAAATAGAAACCATAATTGCTTCTTTATTTTCAAGTTCAGCCACTTTAAAATATTTAAGTCCAATTTGGTTTAAACGAATGCCATATTTCCAATAATATTGATTTTCTCGATTGAATTTGGCACAATTATTCATCATCAACACGAAATCAGCTTTCATCTGTGAAATTTGTTTATAACAACCTCTTGCCACTTTTCTGAAACAAGCCATCAGAAAGGTGACTTTTACGATTTATACTACTTTATGACGAACAAAAGGGAAAATAGAGGGAGCAAATGAATCATTAAAAGAAAAAAAGAAGAAAGGTAGCAAGTAGCAATATTTACTTCCGCATTGTAGAAAGGTCCATCGGTTTTTTGATAATTGAAGAATATCCAGGGACATCTTTATCTGACACGGGTTTTGCAAAAACCTTAAATTTTCTTAATAGATTTGATAAATGCAACAAATTCTGAAAAAAATATAGTAATATAAAATATAAATATGAATTGCAATTTGACAAAAACGATAAAACAAAACTTCTTTATAACAGATCACAAAAATTTCGCACTAGTTTTTTTCCAGTTTGTAAAAAAATGGGGAAAATAAAAGGTAAAAAATTCACATTTTCAAAATCTTTATTTTCTATTTTGTCCAACAGATCATTAAATATTGATTGCAATGGTCGCATACATCGATCAAAAAGCTTTGCAGACTGAGAATACTGAAATAATTTTATAATCAGCTCGAAAAATGATAAGAACTTTTTAATGAAGAAGATTTCATTGCAAAAGCCAAAATTTCATGATAAAAAAATTTCAATAGGAATTTACATAAATCTCTAAAAAATTTACATATTCTTTTTTCAATTTTTCTCGTTTTTTGACCAATTCACACAACAGTCGAATACGTTCAAGATGAGCTCTCAATGAACCATATGCATTTAAATCTGCTGTCTCCTCACTTGCTTGTGCCACTGCACTCGTTGTTTTCCCATGCTTTGAGATAAATTAACAAATTAAGAAGAAAATTCATAGTCTCTTACAACGAAAATATTAAAAAAATAAAAATTACAAGTAATCGTCGTAAAAGCGGCACACCACAACGAGATTGTCGTTTTAACTCCCAATAGACTGCAATGCGACGCATCAGGCTTTCACTGATATTTAATTTTAATCGAATTTCATTCAATCTAAAAAATGCGCAGGATGATAAAAAATTATGAAGCCGAAGAAATAAATTTTTTGCATTTCAGAAAGAATACTGAAGCGGCACACCAAAAATTCAAATAAAAACCTTACTTCTAAGAATCCAAAAATTCAAAATTTGCAAACTCACTTTGGAAATGGAACTTTGGGTTCATTGACTGGAGGTACCACTGTAAGGTTCGCTTGCAATTTCAAACGCGCTGCCCGCATTAATTCTTCCTATGACAAGTACTAAATAATGAAAAAGAAATATAAATTATAATTTTGTAAAATAACTGGCCATATCAGCATATATGTATATCTGGAAAAAATTGATCCATTTCTTCCAATCAAATTTTTCTCAGTCATCAATACATCTCTTAATTCCAGTTATTTCAATCTATAAATTCCTTCATCGCTAAAGAATAATTTTGTACCAATCGATTAGGTCCTTCCATATCCTGTGTATTCTATCAAACCTTTCAATCCCACTTCACTAATATCTTCCATGGAATCCGCTATATTCTGATATTCTATTCCTTCAAAGGCCATAAACTCCTCTAACATTCCATCAAATTTAGACTTCATTGTCGAATCATATCTTAATCCCTTAAACATAATTTTAAATCTCGACAAGCCTCGGAACTAACTCTCAATCTATCCAACACATCATTCACCTTCAATTTCCTTTCATCTCGTATTGAATGTTCTTCTTCTTCAGATAGCTCTCATTATTACTGGTTAGCCTGGTTCCACTGGCTATAAAGGTAAGACATTTCTAGACTGCGCCATTTGATATAATCGTTGATGGTAATAAAAGCCATTTCTTTTTCCATCGTCTAAGTCCATATATCGCTGGTCCGTATATACGTTCAAAATCTTTCCTGACTATATCAGACCAGGTTTTGATTGGCCCATCTCGTGACAAATCTTGTGGTGGACGACAGAGAACGTGCCCTAACCAGCGAAGGCGACGCTCTGTGATAATATTATAAATGCAAGTGGTATTTGAAGGTGGATTCGATCATGTGACATGATATTTATCCGCTCGATGGATGCGTAAAATGTATTTTAGGCATAAGTGGACAAAGGCTTATAGCTTCTTAATATTCTACTCTCTTTGGCCATGTTTCGCAGCCATATAGCAAGATCGAGCGAATTATAGTTATATGGAAGCGGATTTTTGTCTTTATGGTCACTTCGCGACGATTCCATAAAGGTTTCATCAAGCGGAAAAACCGGAAAATTTCTGTCGTTATATGGTTTACAATTTCATCAATTTGCCTGGCCATTTGGGATTAGAGTGGATCCAAGATATTTAAAGTTTTTCTCAGCCGACAATGAGTTGATAAAAATAGGTATTTTATTAGCATCTTGTATATAAGACGAAAACACTTTCCGTTTTATTTACATGGATTCTAAGTCCAATTCTTGCTGCAGTTGTGATACAATGTTTAACAATTCTTGCTGCAGTTGTGATACAATGTTTAACATCATTATAACTGTCAACAAAAATGACTATATCATCAGCTTATTATGATATTATGCTCTGGACTGATTTGCATATCATATTTACCGACAAGCGAAGCTCATTATCCAGTCTATCGCATAATTGGATATTTTAGGGAAAAGGACGCCGGGCACCAATTTTTATTTCGAAGTAATCCGTCAGTTCTCCAAGTATGATGATATAATGCCTTTATGAGCCAAATAATCTTCTCTGGGATACCGTCACATTCCATCACTTTCCAGATCGTTGCTCTATCGAATCGAAGGCAGCTGGAAAATCGACAAAGCAAATGAAGGTGGGCTGCTGGAGCGATATTCCAGCACCTTTCTTAGCGTAAATATCTGTTAAGCATTCTCATGTTATCTCATGAGTCTATTTAGTAGAAAGGAAGTGAAAATTTTTCCAAAGATGTCCAGTAGGCTGATTCCTCAGTAATTATAGCAATATGTCCTTTCATTTTTCTTAGAAAAGAACAGATTTACCCCTAAAATCTTAGACATGAGTGATCAAAAACAGATAACTTCTCAATATCCTCCAATCTCATCGGCCATATTCGAGCAAAATACCTCTACATAAACACGATCTTTCGCTTTTTTTATGGTGATCTCGACTCCACAACTCCATAAAAGTTTCGTCAACTGGAAGTTACCATTGCCTGGGTTGTAATTTTATCTTTCGCTTGGCCGTTTGTGACTGGAGTTGATCGGAAATATTTAAAGTCTAGCATTTCCTCAACAGGCAATGAATTGATAAAAATAGGTACTTTATCAGCTTCTCGTATATCACATTGAATATGTAATGAATATTGAAATACATTATGCTTTTTAAAACCAGATGGTAATATTAAGCTTTCTTACACTTTAATCACCTTATACTGACGAGCTTCAAACTATAGCAACCTAACTTGTGGTACTAAAACCATATCTTTTTATTATAGCTCACTGATACCCTCATTAATATGAAACTTCGTTCAATTCTTTTGACATTCTTCGAAATATTTTGCGAAAAAAAATTCCCGTCAAGTATTTCCTTAGCATGACCAAAGCTTTTTTAGCCATCCCTAACCCATCAATATCATTATTTTAAATCCTTCTGCAACTAGCCTTTCTAAACTCATCACAATATCAATCACCACCAATTTTTTTGCCTAGATGCTCCATCAAACTCTGCAATAAACTTTGTCAATGAACGTAAAGATGCAAAAGACAGAGCCTCGTAATTGGAATTGGAATTATCAAAAAATTATAGTGCGAATTTGAGAATAGTTGAGAATTTTATGAATTTGGCGAGCACCAAAACGGCATCAAGGAGCGTTAAAAAATTTTTAGAAAATATAACGAAAAGATATTAAAAGGCATACCAAAGTTTGAAGAAATTGTTCCCAACCGCAAGAGGTAGGATAGATTTTTTGCTAATATCAATCCGCTAAATGATTTATTTATTTATTTATTACAACCTGGATTCTCTATCAATTCGTCGTATTAAACAAGATTTAATTTATACTTATAAGATTTTGTACGGTTATGTTAAATTAGATTGTTCAAAATATTATAATTTTAGGTTAAATATAAATCCAACAAGAACTAATGGGCTAAAATTACTAAAACCTATATTTAAAACCAAACTAAGGACTCATGATTTCTTTGTTCATAATATTAATTTCTGGAATAAATTATCGAACGGCATAGCTTGTGCGTCATCCCTAGCTATCTTTAAAAAAAGAACAGATAATATCATTAATGATAATATTTAAAAAATTCACATCATGCAGGAAATGTGAAATCGCGATTTTTACCATCCGATTATAATTATTTCGATTTGTACTATATTTTATTATTTTGTAATATCCTCTTTATTTCATCTTTAAATTGTTTATTTTATTTTAATATTATTATTTTTTATAAACCCCATCAAGGAAAGTTGAAAAATTTTTAGAAAATATAACGAAAAGATATTAAAGGGCATACCAAAGTTTGAAGAAATTCAACCGTATTCTTCCCAACCGTAAGAGGTAGGATAGATTTTTTTTACTACTATCAATCTGCTAAATGATTTATAAAATGAAGTTTATAATTTACATTTATTATTAAAAGAACTTACAATTTTTTTTCTTCCTTTCGATGTCTCTATCGAATTTTCTCTGAAAAATGAGCAGTTTAAAATACAATAAATTCAGGCAAAATATTGCAAACCAACAGTCTTAGAAATTCCAAAATAATTCCACTATCGATTATAATATTTTAAAAGAAAATAAATAAAAAATGTATCAAGAGAAACGTAAAAAACACAAACTTGTTAAAATCTGATGAATGGAAATGACAAAAAGCGAGATATTTAGTTTCAATCATACCACGTTTTGGATTTTCTACCTCTTCTGTGCGCATCTCCATTCCAGCTGCGCGCCCACATGTGACATGGAATGACCGCGTACATGATTTCTAAATTCTTGAATTATTGAATCCTGAACGCTTGTGATGCTTTCATTTTGCAAAATAATATTTCGATTCCATTTTTTTTTTAATCTTATTATATAATAAGGCACAGCGACTAATTGAAAGCTATGAAACCTTGGAACACTGAAGGCAAGCACCAGCTCTTTGTTTACAAACAATGCATCGTAACTTGCATCTTCGCCGAATCGAATTTTCAATCCCATCAATCGGTTCCATAAATGTAACATTGGCAAAATGCACCTGCGAAATGAATTGAAGAAATTAAAACAATTTCGAGATTCCAAAAATTTTTTTAAAGCTAATAAAGAAACGTACCTCATTTAAAAAAAGGGCACATATAACGTGAGCCCAACGATTATCTATAGTTTGTTTAAAAGCACCTAGGTGACTAGGACATAAAACACAATCTACGGCTTTTGATGGTGACAACTGGCAACGTCTACAAAGCCACTGCCCCTCAGGAACATATGGCACACCATAGCATTCCTAAATAAACATTTTTTAATAAAATGAAAATTCAAAGAGAAGAAGAATTAAGCCTACCTGATGGACAGCAATATTACATAAATCACAGAAAATGATCTGATTAAGATTATCCACTTCACCATTAGAACAAATGCAGCAAAGAGCATCCTGATCCACAGATGGTTTGAAAGGGATTCCCTCTTGCGCGCACTGAAATCGAACGCGAATTAATTCATAAGTTGACGAAATAAAGACTTCAATAAAACAAATAACATTAGGTAAACCTGAAAAAAGCATTCCTTCTCTAGACGGTCCATAGCAAGTTCGAAAGTTTCGATTGCCAATTCATTGCCATTTTTTTGCTTGTTATTTAATTCCCTTAGCCATGCTATATCCTAAAAATTAAGAAAAAAAACATTAATGTATAGCAAAACTAAAGGCTTGGTAAGATTATGAAAAACATATCTTTGAACATTCAACAACAGAACTCACTTCTTCATCGGCATCATATTCGAGAACATTATCCATTTCTTGATTTGTTTTTACGCGATATTTAATATATGTCTTGGGAAGTTCAAAAGTATTTAATTCCAATCTGTCGATAACGCGTAGATTCACTTTAGGAAGAACTAATGATAAAGAATTCAACTGAAAAAAATGAATAATTTAATTAAAATAATCCGAAAAAGAATGGATAACTTTATTCTACTTTATTTCCCTATTATCATTTTTTTATTTTCTTCATTTTTCTTTAAACTAATAGATATACGATAAATTAAAGAAGTGACAAAATTAAAGCATAGAAATTTGAAGGAAGTCATCAGAAAAGACATAATTTTATCTAATAATATGATCACGGATTCAACCGCGGATATGATCACGGATTCAACCGCGGATTCTTCATAGATGCAAACCATTCCTAAAATAAAATTGGGTGGCGCCAAGAACTTACCGTTCCAACAAAGAAGGATTTTAACTATTCGAGTCCTCGTTCGCAACAAATTTTCAAGCCACTGCGGCTACAGCTAATTTAAATTACAGTAAATCCACCAAAGAATAAAATATCCATAATTTAAAAAATTTAAATAGATAGAATATATATTTCAAATTATTTATGAGGAAAAAATTTATCTGAAGTATCATGGGTGTGAAATTTTTTTTAAAGAAATTTTCATCATAGAGAATCATGAGATAAACAAAAATTTCAAATTTAAAGCACTTACAGCTTTATAATTTGCATTAATTACTTCACTTCGTTTCGATACTGGTAATTTGTCGTCATTCGTAATTTTAACGCTAAGTGGTTGCATAATGTTCAGTCGCACATTTCGCCCACCAAGAGAAACATTCACATACTTCTCGTGCATCGAGCTTGGCAGCATTTCCTCGGCTATTTTCCCTAGAATTAAGTATAAAAATTAGCTGTATTTTAAAATTTTAAAAGGTGAAAACGAAAGTAAAAAACTTCACATGTAACTATGGAATGAATTTTAAATGGGTTTCCCATTTAAAAAAGAAAAAAAAGCTCCTTCTAGATTCGAACAGAGATGTTTGCATGATTTTCGCGGGAAAATTAAATTTCGGCCTCAAACGCTGAATTAAGGCAGAATTAATAATCACCTCAAACCTGGGTAGTTAAAAAACAACATTCAATTTAGTAGTGTAATAGTAGTGTAGTTTAGTAGTGTAAGCTAAATCAGCGACGAATATGCAGTAAAATAGAAAAGATGCACGAAGAAAGGGAAATGAGTAAGTGAAAGCAACAGAAAATATTAATTGTTCGCGATGGAGTAGCGCACCACCGCTCCGCTCTCTAAATTCCTTTTCACTTCCCGGATCTTTATTTTACTGCAAAAGTAATAAAAGCGTAAAGCATAAACAAAAAACAAATAAAAGAGTTTATACAACAAAAAAAAATATATTTTCAATGAAACATTTCGAAGTATTTTTATTCTTTTGTAGTAAAATTTCTTTTTCCTCAAAATAAAATTTTTTATATTTTTATTCTCAAAACAATTATCCTCAAAAATATCGAAAAAACCCGCCACCACCAAGAATTACTGCAAGAACGATACTAAATAAATAGCACAAATGAATGGCATCTATGGCACAATGGCCGCTTTGTTGATTAAATACGGCCGCGGCCCGAGAAGCACCCCTTTCACACATATTTGATGTTAGTATAGAAAGGCAGATCATAAAAGTGCTGTTCGAGTCCCAAAGCTTTGAATGAACAGCGGTAGTAGGGGGAAATTAGTATAGAAAAGGCTTTAGTCTATCCTGGAGGAAGAGGAGGACATGTTGTACCTGCGATTGGGATCTATTACCAGAGATTTTGCAAATAATGAAGTGTGGTAATCTCAAGGGCTCCAAAGAAAGATTTGATAGGGTATAAGTAGGCTTCACAGAAAATTAAGATACTATAAGAGAATTCGATTTGATAGAGGGTTTTAGATGGAGGGATTTAGCGGAACCTGGAAAGATAAAAGGCTATGAAATTTATGAATGAAATTTTTAAAAATGTGGGGAAGTGGGTGGGAGAGAAGGAAGAGGAGAAAAGGTGGATGTAAAAGCATTTAAGAGAATATCGATGAAAATCATTATTGGAATAATATGGCACTGAATATGGAGATGATTGCTCAAGTAGGCGATAACAGGAAATTGAGTTTACTTAGTAAAGCGACCTTAACTCGGGAAACGACCAGTGAAATGATCCGAGATAATGGCATGCTTCTTAGCGCTCTCAAAGATCTCTTAAAAGACCCGAGAGAGACTTTTTTGAGAAAAAAACTTGAAAACTTGAAAACTGAAAAAAACTTAATCACTTTAGATCAACGGTATACTCAAATATACTCACCGAAAAAAAAACCAGATAAGAAACAAAGCAATCTAGCTCACAATCCCTAAGAACGATGTTTGGGCGTACTATGGCAAGAAATGAGCCTCGACTTCTCTCGCTTCTCTCCTAAAAATCAGGCAGGAAAGACAAAAAATTTGATTCTGGAGGGCACAACATCCACTCAAAATTAAGTAATATTTTCAGATTAGATAATGTTGCAGAGAAAATTTATAATCCGAAAATACAAGAGAAAAAAATATGTCTTGGTAACCTTTACTGCACTGTACTGATATAAGATCTTTCGAAATTCTGTTCTCTGGAAAATACTGGAATATGTGATATAACTGGTCGTACTGGCTTGATGACAAAACATGGGGACAATTTTAAAAGTCGATCAAGAAAAATGATAAAGGCAGATATGCCATATGATGGCTTAGGAAGAGCTCTAATCCCACAATCGAGTCAAATTTCGGTGACATGACATACACTTGAAATAAATTACTTAAGGATGAGAATCTAAGAAACCAGTACGACCAAGTATTTAAAGAGCAGTTGGATAATAAAAATAATAGAGCTGGCTCCTTTAGAAATCTTAGGTCGGCAATGCATCGATATTAAAAATATGGCAGGCGTTGCCGATAGATTGCCCAGTGGAGCGATTAGACTGAATAATTTTAATAGAAAGACCCACTGCTTTGTAGACGCGTCGAAAAAGGCTTTCGGTAATCTATATAATAATCATTAAATAAAATCGTCAAGATTCAAAATAAAATTTTGGATGACAAAATCAAAGGTAGCGCCATTTAAGGAGAACTATCCAAAAATTAGAGTTATTGGCTATCCTCATTGGCTATAAACTTATCGATTTCGTCGTTAGCCAAATTGGAATTCAGAAGGGAATATCTCGATATCGATGGACGGATAGTAAGCCTGTCATCGATTGGATTGAAAATGATAAGAAAGAAGAAACAAAATCGCTTGGAAGAAATCAGAAAACGCCAACAGGAATAATTCATCACGTTGAAAGGACAATCCTGCAGGTAAAGCGTCAAGAGGAATAAATGCAGTAGAATTAAAATCCTTATCGCTGTGGTAGCAGAATAACCGACTGGCTAAGCTACAATCAAGAAAGATGACCAAAAGAACCTTACTACGAAACCGACAAGTTATCATATACTATTTAGCAAAGTAGATTAAAAGAATTGGAAAGATAAAAAGAATTTAGGTGATTGATGCGCCTCTCAGCAATTGGCGACGACTATTCGGTATAGCTATGTTCGTAATAAAATTTATGAAAAGATCTCTAAAGATTCGAAAGTTAGATTATATCAGGAACATGGGTTCAAATATAAATCTTCTGGTAAAATCGTAATTAATCCGTTAGACTCAACCAGAAGAACTAATTTAAGATGTAGTAAAATGGGGAATTTATCAGTATGGGAATTATATCTACAGAGGTCGTATCCCCAATAATCTAACATTTCTTCTTCTTAAAAAGAACAGGGTTACAGAAATGATTATCTTACATCTTCATACAAATAATGGTCATTGTATTTTTTTAAACTTAATTATTTCTATTTTTTTGTCCTTGACAGGAGTAAACCTGAGGCCTGAGTGGCTGCTGAGGACCCGCTTGTATCCCCAAGTGACTCTATGGTGAAAAGATCAGGTCTCTTTGACGCGACGTCCGCACCTTCCGCATGATACTTCTGATTGGGTGATAAATATATGGACCTGGCGTAATAATAAAATGATTCCAAGGCGTGAAAATAGAATATAATACATTCGCGAACCGATGCATTTACTCAAAACTCGTCAAGGGAGGCGAGAGCCTACCAGTAACACTTTGTAAGCGCGGCGAATGCTGGTTATTTGGGACTTGGAATGTCAGAATGCTTATGGATGTTGCAAGCCAAGCGATCATTGTCCACACCCTTTCTAAATACCGCGTAAATGTGGCTTGTTTGTAGGAAATCCGTCTTCCTCTGCTCTGAGTAATTATTAAAGCCGGTTCGGAGCAAAGATATTGGCTATATCACTGTGGTGTCTCGAATAACTCGGGACAAAATGGCGTAACGATTGTCATTCTGCAAAGGCTCGATCGGCTCGATCGGCTAGCTCTGATTGAATAGAAGCCAGTAACCGTATGGTCTACGCTCGGAAATTCTGCAATATTTCATCAGTATATATACTCCAATTTTATGTGCAGATGACCGCAAAAGATAAGTTCTTGCGGAACTTCAATTGTTAACAACATCTCTACGAAGAGGTGGACATGGTCATACTCGGGGGAGACTGGAATGCGCGCGTAAGTCATGATGCCGTTACGATGAATTTAGTAATTAGGCAAAAATGGCATCGGGATCCAGTGCGCCAGTGGAGAACGCCTTCTTCGTTTTGCCGAACAATATGAACTAATTGTTTTTAATATATGCTTTCGGCATCGGAGAAAGCATCTAATCGCGTGGAACTCTCCAGATAACCAATATTCCAATCAGATTGACTATATTAGTCAGTCACCGCTGGAAGAGTTCTGTATTTGACAGTCGTTCTTATCGTGGCGCTGAAATTGTTAACCAACATGGATTAGGTCTTATTATGGTTCGAACCAAGATTCGTATAAAATTGACAAGTCGTTAGAAACGAAACAACATATCCCAAGATCTTTCAACTAAATAGATGCATTTAAAATCGTATTATTGTTTCAATAGTGAAAAGAATGTCAATGTCATCTCTGGAAAGGTGAATGAATATTGGTCTCATAACTAAAGAAAATCAGCCATTTCCACTATGGCATACTAATAAGAAGTGCGCTAGTTGGGTGTCGGAAGCAATTGTCTGAAAAAGCTGCCAAAGCCCGAATGTCATGAGATCCTGACTATCGGGTTTTTCGAAGAATTATAACGACAGCAGCATGGCGAGAGGACAGAAATCGCTACTGGAGCGATATGGCCTTGGGAATGGAGACGGTGGCTCGAATAGGTGATAATAGGAAACTGTTTCGCCTTTTTCGCAAAGCAACTATAGCTCGAGAAAGGATCAGTGAAATGATACGGGATATTAATAGCCTATTAAAGCTGTTAATCGTCTCAGAAGATGGAAAGAATTTTTTGAGGCCAAACTTAGCCACGATGCACCATCTCTTGTCCCGAATATAACTGATTCGCCCGTCGAGCCTTATATCTACAATTGCGAACCACCAACATAAGAGTAAATAATCTCTAAAATCCATAAACTAAGATCAATAAAACCCCGGAGAACATGGTCTTTGGACCGAATCAAATCTCTTCAAATGTTGCCCATCATCGTTCATAACTCACCTTCAACAAATGTATACTCTGGTATGGCAAAAGGAAATAATACCAGAAGACTGGAGCAAAGCAGTTCTGCTTCCAATTCCTAAGAGAAGTGACAGGACATACTGCAGCACAACAATTATAGAGGAATCAGCCTACTGAGCATCTCCGGAAAAGTTTTCCCTTCTCTTATGCTAAATAAATAAGCAACATGAGATAGCAGAATGCATCCTAATCAAGCTGAATT